TAGCTAGCTACGTTTGTGTTAAAGGTGTTTACAGCCGGTGTGATGTAATGCATTATTATTAATAATAATAAAACCTCCAGATCAGGTTGAATGTGTGGCACCCACTTGGGTTATGCATGGCAGCCATTTTGCGCCAGAACGCTCACCATATTGGAGTAATACAAGACTAAGAGTCTACAGCCATGCTCACAGCTCAATGTGGCTGTAGCAGTGCTTTTCACTAAATGCTGCATCCTATATGCTCACAGTGACAATTTTAACATGCTGCTAACACAATGCGGATGTTTAACTAATAATGTTTTCCTCATCTTATTTAAGTATGTCAACAGTTGCTAACCAGCACCAAACATTAGACAAATTCATCTTTCACTGGATAAGTGGCTGTGGATGAAAAGTCAGGGGATTACCAACGCTAAAAATAGGCACTGTCTAATTACAATCTGTGGCCAAGTTACAATCTGAAAAAAAGCACATCAGTTGTGCCAGCTACCAATCATTCATATTTTATTTCTAAATGGAAAAATGGGTGCCCCAGGCACACGAGATGTCCGTAGCAAAACTTACTCAACAACACCTTCAAAATAAAAACTGCTAGAACCTCTCAAAGGATATGAGGCAGGCTTTTGACATCACTATTTTTGTTGAAATAGCCTTCAAATGATCCTAGTGTGAACCCAATTCAAACTAAGACGTGTCTTTTTTTACTAAATAAACACTTACTATCACTGTAGCGTGCCTCGCACCATCTTTGAGAATAACTTTATTTATTATGTCATAGCACAGGGACTTTGTCTGAGGCATTATTGCAGAGGTTTCTTTGGAGCAGAGAGTACACAACAGTAGAATGTGAACTTATACTCTAGTGCAACTACTGCAAAGGAACCCCAGCTACAGCGTGCATATCTCTCATCATTGTCCTGTGAGATATAAAGGCGTCCTGTGTATAGCCTACTGTGTGTACTGTGTGTGTAAGTGTTATATGTTAATCTTTATTGGGTTTTACTGCAATGACACGGCAGTGTGGCATCTGTTCACAGTCAAGCTGAGTTGGATGATTACAGAGAAAGAGTAACATTCTCTTACAGTGAGAACAAATTTATAACAGGGTCAAACTATCACTTGCTGACAAGGAACTAATTTCAACTTCATCACAAACTCAACATGGACAATTATTTTGTCTCTATGTATCACTGTCTATCTTGTGATTATAAAATTGCGTAGCCCATCAATATTCTGGCTTCAACACTTTGAAAAATAAAACCAAAACTATATGAAAGGTAAGAGTAAAACATGTTTCTCAGGTATTGTGGGGAATCTGAACCTTTATTTCAGCAACACAGGAAGGCAAAACATTTTGTTTTTAAATTTCACTAAGAAACTTTAAAAGCATACATGCCTCATTGTACTTTCCAGAAACCTTTCAGGATCTGTTATTCCCTATCCATTTCTCTTCAGTGCTAATACTGACAAGAACTGTAAGTGACTGGGTTTTCACAGCAACGCCTGCAAGCCCCAGCGTGATTGAAGGAGAAAGTTGTTGTTCAGTTAGATGAATAGGCGACAAGAGAGGAGGGCGCAGGGGGAAAGCGACGTCCAGGAGTCTCAGCCTGGAGGAGCCTTTGTTCCTGTGGGCTCTTGTCCAGTTTTTCACACTGAGAGCAGATACCCAGGTGGAATACTAATGGCTGGCTTTGTCATAGCCAGTCTTTGTCTGGATCACTGGATTGTGGACATTAGGGATGTTAAGGCTTTACTCCACCAGTCTTACTCTCAAGTACATCAGTCTCTGTGTGTGAGTCTGCCCAGACAGGTGTGTGGACAGCCACACTAGGCAAGATGTTTGTGTTAAAGGATTATTCCTGCGGTGATAACATTGTACTCACCAAGTTAACCACTGAGTTCTATACAGCGACATTGCTAAAAAAAAGTCAGTGGGCAATTTTTTGTTTTATTTAAATTTTTTTATTTAAAAGGGACAGAGCACATTAATGGACATTTAGTGTAAATATGCCAGATTTAGCCAGAAGGCTAATTTTCATCTGTAGTCCCCGACAGGTCATTACAATACAGAGGTCAATATAAGAAAAGTTCAACAAACAATAGAAAGAATATTAAAATACTCCACAATATTATTAATAAGGTTATTAAGACATGTAGTTTCAGGGTGCTATTTATGCAAGAAAGTGCTATTCTATGCAAATAAATGCAATTAAATGGATTAAAGTGCTAGTCAGTGCAGTAAAAGGCCGCATCTAGTGTGGGACCACACAGCAGGGTAAGTCTCCAGCTGAATGATCCCACAAGGTCCTTCACTAGAGTCCAGAATCATGAAGGGTCACTGTAAGTGAAAGCCAGACAATTGTAAGTAACTATATGTATACTTAAACACACATATGCCAGACACACACCAACAATGTAAATAATTTAATTAGTGATCATAGACTTGATGTGTCTTGAGCCATTGTTTAAGCCAAGTCTTGATTGTAGGTGAAGTGGGGCATTCACAACTGCAGCCGGTAATTTGTTCCAGATCTCAGTACCCTTCACGGATAATACACGGATAATACAACAAAGCAGTAGTCTCTCCCGACTTTTTAACTAATATCATATTCATTCAACAGCAGCAAGGAGTATGTTTACAAAACATAACGTTTCTTAATGCCCACTGGCTGAAATAAAAAATAAAGCAGGTGAATCCTGACTTTTGAACTTTGCACATGTATTTCTAAAGCCTAGCATATACTCTGGAGCGGACAGGACAGCTGCGGACCTTGCGGATGCAAACTACTTCTGTTTATACTACTTTCTGGAGTCAGCTTGGCGGACACGTTCCACACAGACACTACGCGTACCCCCTCTGATGACGATTTTTTCGAGCAGACACCATAGACAGTATATTACTGGACGAAGCCACCCCGATGATTTGAATGGAGAGCAGTGAAGCCAGTTTTGGACCAATAAAATACTACTACAGGGCTACTTCCTGTTGGCACCAGTGTCTACTGCGCATGATCGCGCAGCATAACCGTGGTTTAATTACGTAAAGCAACGGCAGAAACACCGTAATTCTGGTAGCTGCACCAACAAAAAGTTTCATGGCTCAGTGTGTTTGACTGACTCGAATCGTCACTGATTAATCAGCCCACCTACGAGGCTCACCTGCCAAACACCAACGCAGCGTCACTGATCGCCGAATAGTTGTTTTAGATTCACTGAAAGTTTATAATCTAAGCAATATGGTTACATCTCTCGTGTGCGACGGGATGTCACAGGGTTTTGACGTAATTTTTGGGCCTACATGGAACCGTCCGTGCAGGCTTTGGTCGGCTTTCCTGTTTCAACTGTGGCTTACCCCCTTGGCAGACACGGACAACTGCATACCCCACGGACGCGGACTACTTCTGTTTATTCTACTTTCTTCAGTCAGCTTGGCGGACACATTCCACACATGCGCAGTAAATCGGTTTGTGCCCTGGTAGCGCTAGTGCGGTCACAAAAAACTGGAGGCACACAGATGTCCGCCAGACCCTATGCGTACCTCCTCCGATGAGGATTTTTTAGACACGCTGACCCTCGCGTACTCACGGACGTGGAAAGTATAATCCTTGCCCAAGAGCAGTATTCAGTATTTTTACAAAACATACATCATTACTTAACGCCAGTCTCTTCCGAGAGTCCAAGCATCACTGGCTGTAGCAGCCGGAGTTTCTTTTAAAGTTTCACGTTGCTGTGCTGCTTTAGCAGATGTTTCAGGGATCAGATGCAGAACTGTTAACGGTTGATAGCTTTTTGCTGGTCGCACTGAGTTTACAACGGACAACAATGTTCTTTGCATCTTAGACTGTAACACGGCAGTAACGGCAGTAACAGGAGTAACGTTACTTCCAGCTGTTGAAAGAACGCTTCTCTCCCTCATTCTCCATTCCTTCTTTAGCACTCGCCCAATCACGTCAAGGTTGGTGCGTCCAGTAATGCAGTAACATGTGAAGGCCCATACTTCACCAGCTCTTTTTAGCCGGTGAAATATCTCATCTCAGTAAACATTTCATACTGAAATGTATCCATCAAACATTGTCAAACCCACAGGCATTGGGATACAAGTTGGAACATTAGCTTGCACAGCCGTTGGTGGTTCTCCGACACTATGCTAGATTCTGCTAGCCCATGTTGTGGTGACCCTCACATTGCTGGTTGTAGTGGTCCTTCTCCCATTGTTAACATTCCTCAAAGTGTGCTAACTTAAATATGCCTACACTTACACAAAAAACTGTTTAGTGTGTACAGTGCAATCTTAACTTAAATAAATAACAAAATAAATATTTCAAAAATAAAACCCAAGATGTGATCAACTGGAGTTATTGAACATCTCATAAGTCATATTGTTTCTTGAATGAGTGATTCACTTGACTGACAATGTATTCTGTTTATTTCAGTTGTGTTTTCTAGTCTACTTGCTTGTCCCACCTTAGCTTCTTACCTTTTTGCCCAAGTCTAAATTGTGAGGTCAGGTGTTTAAATATGTGACCTATACAATTTTTAGTGATCAATGTGTTAATCTGAAAATGCAGATGAAAAGCATTTGGCACATGTACTGTATTGTGAATACAAATTTGATGTCAAAAGGCATACTTTTCAAGCATGTTGCACAAAACCATCAGATGAAAGTAACCCAAACAAACCAAACTTTAAGATTTATTGTACGCTGATTGTACAACAACATTTTTATTGACTATACAGTATTAAAACCGATGTCCAGTTAACTTTAGAGTCCCATAGAAAGCAAAATGAAGGGCTATGTGGTAAAAATGTCCGCTGCCCTGCTGCTCTTGATGAACTCTCTGTGCCAAATGCTTGACACTGCTTGCGTAAGTAGGGTTCTTTTTTTTAAAAATGGCATTTGCATGACAAAGGCAGATGGCTTCAGGGTACTAAGGAGGGAGGGATGGGTGGGTGGGGGTCTGAAGGGAAGCAGGAGGCAGGAGGCAGGAGACAGACTGAGACTCTTGGACAGACGCACTGGGATTGCTGGCTCTCTCCCAGTCAGGACACCAGACACTCTGCTGGATATGCTGGATATTGAAGCCGAGATACTGGATGAGGAGTCTGCACCAGATTTGGGTTTGAACGTACCACACATGGAGTTTGTTCACAGATTACTCAGAGGCTTTCTGCTGCTTTGGAGGAAAATGGGGATTCTACAACTGAGAGTGCAACAATGAATTAGGACGTACACTCAAGATTTTTGAAAACTACCTGTTGAAGAGTGACACACTAAAGTGTTTCTGGCTTGCCTTACCATGCCATACTCAAAGCATTTGAGATATTATTGGCACAAATACCCATAATCAATAGGGTCTTGGATTTACTTTATGACTTACCTAACTCTAAGTGAATTGCATCTGGATCCAGTGGTAGTAATATATCCTGGGTAAGCTAGTTTATTTCACTATTTCACAGACTACGCTGTGTTAGAGATGACTGGGGCCCTGCATACTGGACTCATACTCTTCTCATTTGCGGTAATAACCTTCTCATTCTCTACCATAATATAACAAGAGCTAAGCAAATAGTTTTCTGTGTGTTTCTTTTCTAACTTGTATTAAGATTTCATTCTTTTATTTGAAAATACTACTCAGTGCCTCAACATTTGGATATAATGATACCTGAAATTCCATAGCACTGATTACTGTTCTCACGTGTTACCCATCTATTTTCAAATGGCGGATTATATATTATATATATTATTATATTAAATGTGCAGGCAAATTCTGTACAGAAACTGTTAAAATAATAAATTAAACTTGACTTTTTCTCCTTTAGGTGTTATGTGACAGTGAGCCAACACATGCTGTGCCAGACAGAGTGGGGGACTCACATGGTGAGACAGTTAATCACTTTTAGTGGCCATCTAGCGGCCAGCAGTTTGAATTCATAGTACTTACTTCCCTTGTACATCTACTTGATCAATTAAAAAATCATCAAATATGTATTTGATTGATGCCACACTATTTATAATTTATGGTTTTGTTGTTTTCTGTGTCTGACTCTCCAGAACAACCCAGACTAGTCCATCTAACTTCTCACTGGGCTCTCCAGTTGGTCAATGACTCGCTTGCTTTCTCCAGGGCTGACAGCTTCTGTAGAGGCCAGCTCAGCTCACTTGCCTCTCTTGACCAGTCAGAGGAACGGGAAGGAGCCTTGGAGCTTCTTCAGCAGACTGGACTTCGCTCCCCTATCTGGGTCAGGGATCCCAGCAAAGCAGCCTCCCAACCTGTGGCCCTCTCCAAACAATGTGAGTGAAAATAGCAGACCTACAAGCTAATAAAACAAGTACAGAAATACAAAAGTAAAATGTAGAATTTCATCAATTACTTCTTCTGCTCGTGTTTAGATTTACACTTCTCAGCTCTATACTTCCCAAAGGAATCCCGGGAGGGCTTTGCCCGTGTCATCATGCCCTTTCCAGCCCTGTCTTCTATCAGTGTGTGTGTTCGTGTTCAGTGGAACCAAGAGTGGAATGAGGTGTCCACCATCTTCTCCTACGCAGCACCTGTCTTTACTAATGAGTTCCAGTTAAGAGGACAAGTGGACATGCAGGGACGCATCCTCCTGGCAACCATCATCCACGGGAAGCACCTGCCATATAAGGCGTCCTTTCCCAACGATGGAGCTTGGCATCACATCTGTGTCACGTGGCGCAGGAACGGTGGCCACTGGGCTATCTATGTGGATGGGGACAGGAAGGACATGGGCTCTGGCACAGATATTTCAAGAGATATCTACGGGGATGGGATACTCATTCTGGGTCAGGACCAAGATTCATTTGGAGGGAATTTCACAGAGCCCTTTTTTGGAAATATCACTGACCTAAATGTTTGGAATATTTCCCTGGAAACAAGACATATCCTTGCCCTCAATGCATGTTCACCCATGACCCAGGAAGTGTTTTTCAGTTGGAACCTTGACCACCTAAGCAGCCATTCAGTGGTCAAAGAGGTGCAAGTGCTTCTGTTTTGCCCAGGTAAGATCACATTCTGTGGATCACGTTCTGTCTCTTTCAAATCAGCATTTCATCATCTGTGATCCTTTCCAAAGTGTCTACCGAATGGTCCCATCCATGAGTTTAAAGAATTTTATCAGACACCAAAACACTGCACAGTGGTTTATAATGTTCTGGGTTATCATGATGACAGTCATTTTATCTTTAGTCACAGTGATTGCCAGAGTAGTAGTTAGTAGTAGCACATAGTAAAGACGAGAAAGAGGAATGTTTGTTTGCACATATTTCATTGGCTTACACAGTGTCTTCCCAGTTGACGTTGCATTGTGTTTAAATGGAACTTTTTTCCAGTCCGCACTATTCTACTCTTTTTTGCTGAAGCATTGCATTGGAACCCAGACTGTCATCACAGTGGCCTCATTCAACAGAATGAAGGGGCTGGGTTTTTTTCACGTATGTTGGTTTGGACCTCATTTGGAATGGAGGCCTCATGTTCCCTTGACAGCCAAACATATGTAGGACAAAGCTTGACAAATTCAGTTTTTTTAAATAGCGTATATTAGTTACAAATCATTAAATTATTTGCTGAAAAAAATGATGTATTACTGATTTAGTTTGAGTTTTAAGTAGGTGAGGGTGGGCTGTCCTATAGTTTCACTCAAATGAAGACATAAATTTGGAATTTTGCATCATGCTTCATAGGGTTTCCTTCTTATTTTGATTTGTTACAATTTGGATCCTATTTTTGGAGTTTTCGATGTAATTTGTTGCAGTAATAATATTGTTATACTTACAAACTGGATTAGTGAAAATGATTTCAAAGAGACAACAAAAAACAAACAATCATGTTACCTAATCTGTTTACAGACTGACTTCCTGGTTAAACTTTGACCTAATGTGCCTACTATAATTGCGAGTGCACGCAGTTACAAAGAAGTAATATTTACAGAATGTACTTGAAGTACCAAAAGTAAAAGTAATCATTATACAGAATAGCCCATTTGTAGTTAATAATTAATTAAAATGAACTAAATCTTCAACTATTAAATAAATGTAGTGGAGTGAAAACTACAATATTTCTCTCTCTTGTACCTAAGTACTGTTCTTGAGTAAATATACTTAGTTACATTCAACCACTGGATAGGGACACATTAGGGTGACTGAGCGGAGAGAATAAAGGGGAGTGAAAGTGAGACAGAGAAACAGGGAGGGGATTCCCATAGCTCCAGCAGTGCGGGGGCGGCTCCGGGAAGAACAGAGTTTCATGCAGTGGTGAAGAGTAACTCCTACACTGTCTGACTTTCTTTTCCTCTTAAAAGATTCATGCAGTCAATTCAAGCTTAAAGAGATTAAGCTGTTATTTATATTTTTCACAATATATTTGTATTCATAATAAATTCACAATTCATTCATTAATTCATTTGTTGTCATTGACCCCTTGATGTTCCTGAATGCCATCGTTTGTTTTAATCAAATCTCATATTTACCTTAGTTTTTTACCAGTGGAGAAATTTAAACATACTCAGGCTGACTCTTGTTGTGTGTCATTGTGTGGATGTGCGATCACATGAATGTGTGAGCAGCAATGCACCAGCAGATGGAGGTGCAGGGCTGCAGGACACTGCAGGGTTGGTCAGACCAGCTCCCACTGTTCAACCTGACGGACTGTTCCCATCCACTGCCATTCATCTGCAGCAGCAGCAGAGGTGAGCCTCGTACACTGTACACAAAAGCTGCTGTAGTCAGGTTATGTCAAGGTTTGTACTGTACTTGTTAATATAAATAGAATATGAGTGCTAATGATGACTGGATATATTGACTAAGGTAAATACATTATGGTGCAGCAGCCTGCATGTAGTGATGGAAGTGCTACCCCATATGTCTATAAAGGTTCTCAGTCATCCAGCCCTTGATTTTATCCCTCCTTGGATACCCCAAATGCAACCCTAACCCCCACAGAAACTGTTGACCAGACTCAAAAAAGAAAATTCATAAAATCTTCTAATTATTTAACATAGATGTTTCTTATTCTATTAATTTGCTGTCAAGAAAATAATTCTGGTCCTGAAATGCTGAATCCTTTACTTTTTCACTTTTCTCATTGCCCAGTGGTAGTCCTATTTTAGAGTTAAATATGTGTCTACTGGAAATATCCAGTAAGATACCTACAAGTTTCAATTGTAGAATGCATACCCCTCCAAGGTTCTCCAAAAACACAAGTTTCGCAGACACTATTCAGAGATGAAAAGTGTACTCCAAACTAGGGGTGGGGGAGAAAATCGATACAGCATAGTATCACAATATTTTCCATGGCAATATTGTGTCAATACACAAACGTCAAGTTTCAAGCACAAAGCAGAGAGCACAAATAGGACTTTTAGTTGTAAGCAAGTATTTTATACTATGTATTATTAGTTAACTTGTGTTTATTTGTATTTTTTCCACTACTGACATGATGTGAAGCATTTAATATCTCATTTCATTTGAGGGTATAGTGTTGACCCGTGACCTTGAGTGGTTACTGTCAAAGGTTACTAGACTGACAGATAAGATTAAGAGTATAAATGTATAATATATCTGTCTGCTGCAACTAAATTATAATTTCTGAGCCTTAAGTGAGGGAAATACCCCTGTTGACATGGAGTGAGAGATCAGTTTCTGCTGGGAGTTCAGGGTTTTATTCTAGGACGCTGAAGGATAAGTTCTTTGAGCAGCAGAGCATTCTGCCATTACATCATCCACACTGAAGTTACATTTCTTTGGCACAGAGCGTTACCTGAAGATGAAGCAGATAAGTGATTCTCAGAACTCTCACCCCACTGCCTTTATGAGCCATATGATGAAGCTCTCCAACAGAACCCAGGTAAACAACCTATACATCCTCATTTAGCACAACTTGGCCTTATTTTCCCACTTCTTTAAATATTTCACTGTCTTCCCAGGCTTTGTACTGTCAGATGCCTTCTTAGCCTGTTAACCACACCTAACATTGAGTTAATCATGAGATAGTGTTTTAAAGTGTATTTAGGTGGGACATTCCATTTATCTTTCTTTTTTTAAATTTAGTTACACCATTTTGCATTTATGAAGAATTCAGTTGTAAGTGTGATGTGTATTTTCAAAAGGGTTTGGTGTAGTTTGCTATAGGCGGATGCTGATGCCAAGATTTTGCATCAAAGCTCATTCATTTAGATCAGGACACTTAAAAATAATTGTTTGCATTAAACACTGCCCAACAGTAGTGAAAAATGAACAAACATGTAGTCAAATAAACTAAATAATATCCATCATATAAGAGATCACTCTGACTGGCTTCCCAGAGTCATAAAAAATATTGAAACAACCTTAATGGATAATAATACAAATAAAAACACAGGTTTTGGAATTTACATATAATGATAAAAACAATAGCTCTGTTGAACCAAGTGTCTCTGTGTCCACTCCCAGGCAGTGCTGGGCCAGCAGCCATCGCGGCTAGGCAACCTGGCCCAGGCGTCTGCCCTGCTGGACATCTCTGTCCAGGCCCTGGAGGACACCCAGCAAGAGGGACTGCAGCCAACAGACATGGTGTCCCTCATCCAGCTGCTGTCTCTGGCTGCTGACGTCCCAACACAGCCGTTCACCGATGCCGCCAACCACAGCCAGGACAACATCCAGGAGTTCAGCCAGCTCTTTGTTAGTGTGGCCGACAGCGTCATCAGTGAAGACAATGCCCTCAAGTGGCAGGCCATCAAAGAGGTAGCACACTGACAGTAGCACTGATGCGTATGCGGCTCCTGACTGTGGATACACATCAAGTTTGGAAAGCTGTGTATTTAGTGTATTGTATTTTCTTATGACATGAAATATCATAGATTTAGAAAGGAAATACTTTTTGAAAATTTCTTCAGGAGAATCGGGAAATAAATAGGCTACACTAGAGGCATACAGCAGAATGTACAGTATTTTTCCAGCCTTGACCCAGCCATTGCATTAAAGGGTCTCCAGCTGAAGTTTTGAAATTAGAGTTTTCAAATGTAATCTTTTTTAATAACTTAAAGGTCCTGCCTAAATTCACTGTCATCAAGGCAGTGCAAGTCTGTTTTAGTTCCCTTTTTTTGTCTGGAAGGCACTGGCTCCTTTTGACAGCTTTTTTCTAAGCTTTTTGTTGTATGATACACATCCGTTAGTTGACAAAACTGTTTTGTGAAAGAGACACTTAATGTTCCATTTCTTGTTGTTGTTGTGCTGACAAGAAACAGGTTTAAAAGAAATGTGTTAAAAAACAAGTAAAGTCAATATATCATGACTTTTAGTATCATTCAAGTCCACATAAAAGCATATTTTTGTTAGACCCTTACTACCTGCCCATGTCTTTAAAACTCTATTCCCCAGTTTGTAAGACAGGCTTTCTGCTAAAATGTGTACTGTCCAAATCCGAGCAGAGGTTAACATCACCAGGGTTATTTTCTCAGATTTTAGGAAAAGTCCACCAGATCCACAGAAGACACTATAGCACTGTTTTCGCAGGTTGAGTGGTACTTTCTGTGACAAGTATACTGTAACACACATTTCTCTATACTGAGATCACAACACAACACTCTTCACACTGTTCCCTTTAGCACCATGCAGCTCAGCACAACAGTTAATCTAACATTTAAAAAATGAACATCCAAAGTGCACTAATGCAACCAAACACACTTCACAAACATCTCAGGATCAACCTGTGTATCCAAACACTGACTTCCAAGAGTAATTCTTTGTCACTCAGCACACTCTGACCTAAAAACCAACTAACAGCAGATGTATTTTCATTTTTTGCATAAACACAGATTCAAAGAAGTGGACAGCACTTTTTTACTTCATTGATTGCCATACCTTACAGTATATGCATTTATAAAAATATTTCAGTATGCTTTTTTACTAAACTAAAGTAATTCCAGTAATGTAATACCAAATGTGTATTTACTACTCACAATAATTATTTAGGAGAGCTACAGATATAGATATTCAGCAGTGAACTTCTGCATTTAGCCAAGAGTTCTCTCCATCCTTGGCAATCTTCTGCAGATTTATCCAGACTTCCAGCATTCATCGCATCCAGGAGAGACATCTGATCACGTGGCTGGCAGCCATAAACGTTCCACCTCGGAGAGGAAAATTATTCCTCTGCGGGGTTGGAGGTTTTTTTAGATGTAGATTTAGCAAAAAGTATCAAATAATAGTACACAGTTAGGTAAGTATGCATGAGAAATAATTTATGAAACTTGGAAAGATGGGGATGTTGAATGCATTTTGTGTCAAAGCAATGAAAAGCAATCCACAGTTTAGTCCACATTCCCTGCATTGGTGCTGACTGTGGGAAGAGTTTTGAAAATGTGTACTCAATTATTGCATCAGGGCTACAACAGGTGCCATGTTCCAGCAAATGTAGATGCTGCCATAAAGAGCACGAGGGCTCACTGACTGGTGTGATGAGTATGAAAATGATCCATAGACAGACATACTGCTGCTTTTTCAGCTCTAAAGCACTAGGGGGCAGTATGCTTCTATAGATACATTATTATAAGAGCTCATCATCAGCCCAAATGATTAAGTTACCTCAAGAACAGTTGAACAGACCCATGCTATAGCAGCCTCCATACATGAAACCATATTCTAACCCAGTTGGTACATTGCATTCTCTTCAAACTCTATGACCAAGTCTTTTATTTTGTCACTTCTGCATCTGCACTACTGATGATCAACTTGACGAGGTTGCCTTATGACAAGTGTTGTGTTTCTCTTAGCGCTTGCCTCCCTTCCCCCCAGGCCTCTCAGCGCTCCAAGGCCACCTCAGCCCAGACTCAATGGATGAGCAGCACTCTGAAAAACTGTGGCTGTACTCATCTAGAAGCCTCCCTCTCTCTGCTCCCAGCTCTGTCTCCAAGGCTCAGCTCTTAGATGGGCATATTGAATTCAGAACGAGGGGTTTCAAAACAGACAATAGCAAAATCCACGATTGTACACTGCATTATAGGCCAGTCTACTGAACTGTGTGTGCCCTGTTCACCCAAACTGTATGTAGACTCTGGCAAACAGTTAACTGCGCTGAAAGCATTTTCTCATTGTGTGGCGTTTGAATGGTCATTTTGAAATGTACCTCTTTAGCTTTGCCGAATTGCTTTGTGTGTTTTAGGTGGTGAACGGCCCCATGGATGTGGTCAAGAGTATTGACTGTATGCTGACCAGCCTGAGCCCTCGCTTGATGGCTGAGACTGATCACCTGACCATTCACAGCCCAAACATCAGTGAGTCACACACACACACACTGACATAATAGAATGCATGAAAAAAAAACAGAGCAAAGGAGTGTGATACAAAGGGATGACACATTTGAGTTAGGTGTGGGTCCATCATGTAGGTCCTTTAGAAAACTGTCTGCACAGCAAAAAAATGTCAAATGATGTAACAGTTGGCCTTTAAGAAGTTAAAATCTAGAAAAAGATTTTGACTTTATATAATAGCAGTTTTTAGTGCTGTATGTTAAACCATGACTTTTATATCTGCTTTACTTTTTGATATTTTTCAATATGTGGCATCAGCTTCATTTCATAATCATAACTGTGGTTGACAGACAATATGTTAACTAACAGACATTACCTTATCGTCAAATCAAATCATGAAAGATGTGCTCCCTGATCCCAGCTGATAAGCTCCCAGACAAATTCAGTTGGAGACACTAACTATCCATAATATTTCTGCTGAGCTCAAGATACACTTTTTTTAAATCATGTGGATCTTCAGTGTGACCAACAAAGGGCAAATCATTAATAATTTATTATAATAATGATTATTATTACTGAATATTATTGATATTTTAGTAGATTGTTATTTTTTTATTGTCATTGTTTTAAAAACAATGAAAATCAGTTTATTAGCTCTCAGGGATTACAATATAAATACCAAAAATAATAAAACCAGGATAAATAAACACAATTTTACCTCTATAGCTATTCAGAGGAAGCTTCCCTGATGATCTGTCAAGACAGAGTGTGGTGAAGAGATGAATATAAAGGTTTATCTCTGGGCTTTTAAGCAAAACTACACTTTATTACAGCATGGGTTTTATTTTTGCAGCCCTGGGCATTAATTGTATCAGTGATGATAACACTGTACTCTTCGGTAATTGCTGAACTTTCTGAACAATATAATATCCAATGTGACCAGAAACAAGAATAACTAAACAGGTTGCAAACAAACCCACGGGTCTGTCAAACGTATTTGGTAGAGAAAATGAAGGCGAACAGTAAAATGATTACCCAAAGTGTCTATTAGAAACATCCATTGCTTTGACCTACTGTTAGTAGGTGCGTAGCTGTGCATTGACAGTTTCCAGTGCAAAATTGCAGGTGCACTTACTACAGGTTTGCTTGTTTAAGTAGATTCCTGAGATTAAATAAAGTACTGCTTTCTTACAATCCTGTAGAAATATGCTACAATGGTAACACCTTTACAGCTCAGGATAATCAATCTTGATTGAAATTCAAACCATTGCGGTTGTGTTGATAGTGTGGTTACTGAAAATGTCTTGTGAGACACAGAGAAAATGGAACCAAATAGTCAGTACATGAATGTAACATGAGGAAGCATATATTGAATATCCTGTCCTTTCTTTTCCAGAACTGGAGGTGCAGCAGCAGAGGCTGCAGGACGGATCCAGAGGATCGAGCTTCTGTGGACATGAGACAGAGAAACACACAAACCTGGACTGTATTTCAGTCCCACATCAAAAGATACAGGATCTCCACAACAACGGTAAGAAAACGTTGCAAGAGCCAATTATCTTTCTCCACTTGCACTTATAGCAATCACGTATTCAGACGTATCTATCACAATGCTGAGTGTTTGCAAAGAGAGACACATTTTATTAACCTACGTCTTGCAAGTGAATGCAGTGGACGATGCACTAATGACAGACTTGTGAATGTGTAGCATACATTCACCTACTACACTCCCAAGGTCTTGCAGTGAAGTGCAGATGGAGGCGTGTTGGGTTTTGCAATAACTATTCATCTTGAACAATAAGTGGTCCTAAATGAATTACATTTCTGTTTTATTTGGATGTCTGGTGCAATCTGAAGAAAGCGCCGTCTTAATGCTGTGTTGAATGTGCAGGCTTCCATAAGCTCACGTTGGTCAACACATGGTACGGCTCTCTGCGGCCTCTTTTCAATCCTGAGAACAACATCTCCATGGTTCCTACTGTCACCGATGGAAGCCAGAGGTAACGTACAAGCACAAGCTTCCCCCCCCCCATGTCATTTTCTGCTGTACCATCAATACACTTGTCACAGTATAGCATGTTTTTTTTAATACCAGGTATTGCTGTACAGTCTCCAAATGAATTGTGGGCGAAAAGGAAGTGGTGTGAAAGAGTGTTTGCCACATTCCTGATTTATTTTTTTTACATGTTTGTCACACTGAAATGTTTGAGAACAAATTGGAATATTAGACAAAGATAACGCAAGGAAACACAATGCAGTTTTAAAATGAAGGTTTTTAATATTAAGGGGGGGAAAAAATCCAAACCTATATGGCCCTGTGAGAAAAACTGATTGCCCCTTAAACTTAAAAACTAATTGGTCCACCCTTAGCAGCAACAACTGCAATCAAGCGTTTGCGATAACAGGCAATGAGTCTTTTACATCGCTGTGGAGGAGTTTTGGCCCACTCATCTTTGCAGATTTGTTGTAATTCAGCCACACTGGAGGTTCGAGCCTTAACTACTTTTGTAAGGTCATGCCACAACATCTCAATCGCATTCAGGTCAGGATTTTGACTGGGCCACTCCAAGGTCTTGTCATTTTGTTTTTCTTAAGCCATTCAGAGGTGGACTTGCTGGTCTGTTTTAGATCATTGTCCTGCTGCAGAACCCAAGTGCGCTTCAGCTTGAGGTCACGATCAGACGGCCGGACATTCTCCTTTAGGATTTTTTGCTAGACAGCAGAATGGTTCCATATACCACAGCAAGTCTTTCAGGTCCTGAAGCAGCAAAACTGCTCCAGATCATCACACTACCACAACCATATTTTACTGTTTGTATGATGTTCCTTTTCTGAAATTGTTACTTTTACACCAGATGTAATGGGACACACCTTCCAAAAAATTCAGGTTTTGTCTCGTCAGACTACTAGGGTATTTTCCCAAAAGTCTTGGGGATCATCAAGATGTTTTCTGGCAAAACTGTTGTTTTTTTTTTTGCTCAGCAGTGGTTTCCGTCTTGGTTCTCTGCCATGCAGGCCATTTTTCCCCATACTCTTTTCTTATGGTGGAGTCATGAACACTGGCCTTAACGGAGTGCAGTTCTTTGGATGTTGTTGTGGGGATTTTGGTGACTTCTTGGATGAGTTGTCGCTGCGCTCTTGGGGTAATTTCACTCCTGGAAAGTTCACCACTGTTCCATGTTTTTGCCATTTGTGGATTATGGCTCTCACTGTGGTTTGCTGGAGTCCCAAAGCTTTAGAAATGGCTCCTATAACCTTTTCCAGACTGATAAATCTCAATTACTCTGTTTCTCATTTGTTCCTGAATTTCTTTTGCAGCATGATGTCTAGCTTTTGAGGATCTTTTGGTCAGCTTTGTTGAGACATGTCCTATTTAAATGATTTCTTGACTGAGAACAGGTGGGACAGTATTCAGGTCTGGGTGTGGCTAGAGGAATTGAACTCAATTTATTTGATGATCTAAAACATTTCAGTGTGACAAACATGCAAAAAATAAGAAATCAGGATGGGGGAAAACACTATTTCACCACTGTATTGTTTATTTTCATGCTGAAAAGTGTGTTTGTCTGCCAAAATAATGGTTACTCCAACACTTTTGTCACCACATTTTTGTTGTTGTCTAGAATCAGGCACTACACATTACAGGACTACACTGAGTTTATTCTGCCTCCTGACCTTTTTCCAACACAAATTAAGCAAAAATGTAACTGATACAATTTATGACGGCTCCATTCCATTTAGTTGTGTCAGTAAGTCATGTTAATGGGTGAGCATACATTTCATGCATCTGTAATTAGTTTTATTAGTTCCACCTGTCTATGACAAGTCATCATGTCTGCTCAGATAATGGTCCAAAGTCCTGCTACATTGCAGCTTTGCATAGCTCACAGTAAATTGGTGGTTAGCATTTTTGTAAGTATGAAGATACCAGTAAACCTTTTGTTAAATCAAAGCAGGTGGTATTTTCAATTTTTGGTATTTAATACATTTAGTATTAATGTTTTAGCTAGCTGCTAGATAACTTTGATCAATAAAACAATTAAGAGTAAAAGAGATCCTCTGCCGTTTAAAGTGTCTGTTTTTGTGGAATTTTAGCTTTGTTTAGATTCCTGGCATGTTTCAACACTTGTCATTAAACTATTCAGTTCTTATTTTAGCTTTTAGAATAAAGGTATCAACCTACATAGCACAGGCATAACTGTAAGTTACTCTATGCTAAAGTATCAGAATGCACACTGACTGGATATAGTTAAACCACAAATTAGCCTTTTCTGTACTGAAAAATAATAATAATGAATGACTTTGTGTAAATAAGCAGGTATTTGGGCACTGTCCTGGGCTCTTCTGTCATATCCACCACAGTGCTGGCAGACGACCAGACGGTTAGCACAGCAGTTCGCTTCAAGCTCCAGCACAAAGTACAGGTTAGCAAAATCTGACATCTTCACCATTTTTGTTCTTAATTAAATGGGAAGTGGTCTGTACTTATATAGCACCTTTCTAGTCTTCTGACCACTCAAAGCGCTTTGGACGACCGGCTCTATTTCTGGAGCAACAGCCGCCCCATAATTAGATATCTTATTGATTATATATTCTATATTTTTTACAGAATCCCACTGGCACTGTGTATGATCCAGTGTGTGCCTTCTGGGATTTTGATCTCAAGTAAGTACCAATGAACATTTTGAAAAGAGTTTGCAACTTGGAGGTCTCAGATTCCTCTGTAATACAACAGTTATCTTACCTGTTTCATCAAAAAAAAAAAAAAGTGATAAATGCTGCAAAACTTTTTGATAGGAGAGTTTCATTCTTGGCATTCCTGTATTCATGTAGTTTTGTAAGTATGTGCTGTTTGTGTCTGTAACTAGTCTGGAAGCTGGAGGGTGGTGGAATACCAAAGGCTGTGAGGTAGTGTCCAAACAATATGGATACACTGTGTGCTACTGCAACCACACCACCAATTTTGCGTTGCTGCTGCAGGTTTATGAAGCCCAGGTAACAATCCTCTCTCCAATTATAACTTTGTAGTCTGTGTAGGCTTCCATCTACAGTATGTGCTGCTATTTACAGCTTGTGTGTGCGTGTGTGTGCGTGTGTGTGTGTGTGCGTATATGTGTCTGTGTTAGAGGAGCCTGGAGAACGAAAAAGCTTTGCAGGTGCTGACGTTCATTGGCTGTGGAGTGTCTCTGTGTGGCCTCCTCTTCACCTTCATCCTCTTCATCGCTGTGGGGTGAGTCACAAACATCACAGAGTGCACTCTGTAAAGCTCCGAGGGTGAAAAGCATTTCATAAAACTCAATAAATGGAAAAAATAACCATTGTGCTCTGTAGGTATGTCAACAGCACCACAGTGAAACATTTTTCCAAAATCCTGAGAACTACTGTGAGATCTTCATTCAAATATTTTATGCTGTGTGTATTTGCATGCATGGATGTGGGTGTGGGTGTGTGTGTGTGCGTGTGCGTGTGCGTGTGCGTGTGCGTGTGCAGTGTTCCTAAATCAGACCGTACCACCGTCCATAAGAACCTGATTGTTGCTCTGAGCATCGCCGAGCTGCTGTTGATGTGCAGTGACTGGGCATCTGCAAATGAGGTGAGACTCCACATGCGACATATTTGTAAGTAAAATATAAATAAAGTAGGTGGAATGTTCATAAAATAAAGTATTCTTTCTACCTTCTTCACAAAATATATGTGCTCGTAGTCACATTTCTGTGGGCCACTGTTGCGTCATTAAAACTGAAATCAAACAAAACTTGTTTTAACTTTGACAGTGTGTTTGTGTAAGAACCTGTCACTTATAGTAAGAAGCTGAGAGCAAAACACTATAAAACTTTGAGTTCTTATGTTAATGATAGTAGTATCATGAGGAAGCGGAACATTTTTTGTGACCTGTATCTCCTCTGGTGCCAACATTAGGGCACAAATTGAACTTCTGACCTCTGACTTCCCACCCACAGATCCGATTTTTTTAGTTCAGTCTAGATATTAATATGGTCATGAAATATACTGTGTTTTGGACACAGATTTCTCAGATTTCTACTACTATTGATGAATTACTGACTCAAAAAATTATTTCACTTTCATCCCAGGGATGAAACCATGTTTTGTTTTTGGATGTTTGTAATTCTGCAGGCAGCATGCTTCGTGGTGACTGCACTACTCCACCTCTTCTTCATGGCCTCCTTCGCCTGGATGCTGGTGGAGGGTCTGCTGCTCTGGAGCAAAGTGGTGTCGGTCAACATCAGCGAGGACCGCAGGATGAAGCTCTACTACATCATTGGCTGGGGTAAAGTCTCATCTCCATTCAGTCACTTGTCAAGTTGGAGTTGGAGATTTATGTCCTGGTTACCTAGGTTTGGATCAAATCTATCAAATCTGCTTTAATGTAAAATTTTTTCTTAATGAGTAAACATTGAAATTTATTTAAGAAGCATGCTGACAGATAAATCAACATAACAAACTGTGGTTGTCACATTTGCAAATTATTCGCCTTGTTGTTCTAACACTTACAAACTTTATCTCCCTCATGTTTGTGCGTAATTTTGATAAAAACAAGTGATTTTTCAAATCAGGATGAAGAACAAATACAAGCACAGGAGAAAATATTTTAATACAATGTAGAACAAGAAAGTATCTTGTTCACTTTTACTGGTAATGTGTTCAGCCGTCCCTGATGACCTCACTTGTGAAGTGAAATGAGAGTGGAATTAACTTTTGCCTGGTTCAGCTGCTGGAGGAATATGGAAAGTTGCTTCCCTCTTTCTCTCACACAGATAGGGAGAGTTCATGTGTGGACACACAGGATGGGGTGGGCACAGGCGGGCAGCTCTACATGGCTACAGTGGCTCAATAGTGCTTCTGTTTGATTCCTTCTGGGGAATTAAATATTAAAACACTGTCACAAGAAATGCTGGGGCTGTTTCATTCACATCATGTAAATTGTATACTATTAATCAAAAATGTAAAATGTGGCCTACTTTTTTTTGTTATGTCATGCCTAACATCAAACAGTATGTTAGTCCAAAGTACAGTCACAGAACTCCAGGCTAGACACCAGGGATGCGCAAAGCCTGGAGTGAAACCATATATATATATATATATATATATATATAATAAAATAGCCTTCAAGTATTCTCAAAATCTCAACTTCTCTCAATGGTTTTCCATTCCATGTACTCATATTACACAAACAAACTTTATATAAAGGATGTATATGATGATTTCTAAAATAAATAGATGAAAAAACTGAATTGAAATGCCACCCCAAGACAAGGATTTTGCTCTTTCATGTTGGGGAGTGTAATAAACGTTGCAGCATACAGAAGCTGCTAGATGGGCCTTTAGACTTTTAGACTTATTTGTCCAATCGAATGATGAGTTACTGATGTTAACTTATGTCAGTGCTTAAACAAACATTATATGACAGACTACAGATGTGATGTAATGCTATACTGCAACCTTAACCCAGCTTTTTTTTTAAAACATCTCGCAGGTGCGTCTGTTCATGTTAGAGCTGAGAACAGTGTGTGAATATGCACCGCAAATACTCAATATTCAGGTGTTCCTCACGGCTCTCCATGCAGATGTCCTGTATGTTCCCCTTCAGACTAAATAGACTAAGAGACACAGCAGCAGTCACTGTTCCATAAATATGTCTTTAAACATGCTGCTTCTTTATTGTCACAGCACTACCACAGTTAATTTTCTTTTATCAAATTGTTTTTCAGGACTACCTGTTCTAATTGTTGGTGTAACACTGGCAGTATCAGTGGACAAGTACAAGGCAGATAACCACTGCTGGCTCAATGTGAAGACTGACACCATCTGGGCCTTTGTGGGACCTGTTATATTTGTCTTGGCGGTATGTAATCTCATGCCGTGTGTGTATGTGTGTGCCCTCATCCACCTCCTGTACCTCCTTACAATTATTTTTAACTGGTGCTTCGTATAATGTTTGTTAGTGGAGCTTTTTGAAAACTTTTGCATTTGAATGGGCCATACTCTTATATACTTTTTTTTTTTTTTGCTGAGTGTGATATTGTTTGTAATGATTGTTAAAATGTTTGACATTAGTTGATTTTTAAAAGTTTAAAGGAGGAAGATGAGAGAGAAGGGACAACAATAATAACAATCCATATCAAATGTATACAGTGACAGCTTTCACTGTTAAAGCCCAAGGCATTGTTGAAGTGGACTTCAAAGGTATCCCATGCAGTGAACAGGACTAACCTCTACACTTGCACAGCATGCAAATGATGCATTCCTGCCCTAACCAACTAGCAAAAGACAGAGAAGAAGAAGACTGATAGGTAGCCAGGCATGGATGTAAATGATGCAGGTGATGAGAAATGTATTTAGCATTTGTTAGGCCCATAGACTGTATAAAAGAAGTGGACGCAGTCATCGTGACATCACCCGCTGGTTTGTGGACTGCCATTTTTTCAAGTTTGGCCGATAGGGCGCCGCCATGTTGATTTTTTGCAACCAGCGGCACCTGACGTGACCATATTTGGATGAGACGGTGAAACTAATGGCCATTTGTGGGGCTAGTTAGCTTGCTTAGCTAGGTGCATCTGTAATTCACCTTAACTGCCATTTTAACAGGGCTGAAAATTTTGTCTAGCAAACAACAGTCTAAAAACTAAATGAACTCCTAATTAATAATTTTTTTAGGCTCTGGTTAAATTTACACAGGGCCGTGGGTATGAGTCACTCTAGCCTGATTAGCCTGATAAGTTGCCATGGTAATGACTTGTCAATCACAGATAATCCCACCCTGAAGCAAACTCTGCTTTATGGTCTATCTAAATGGGACCATAATTTACTAAATGAACATCATGTTGTATTAAATGAGACTTGAAACTAGCGATTTTGAAAGTCTTCACTGAGGTAATAAATCTGGTGAGAAATAGGGTAATTTTATCATTATTTCTAATTTCTTCTTTTGCAACCAGAAGAGCCGATCCCAGCTGGCTGTTCGATAGAATGCAGGTTTAAGGTTTAATCAGGTTTCTGACGGAAGCTTCCTGTTTGGTTAGGCCTCAAGATACACAATGCATTCTAGTAGACACGCAAACATAACTGGTTTTATTCACAAGAATATTCACAGGGCACCTTTAAAAAGATACAAAACATGAGTGACATAATCCCTGAATGATCCCAAACATCCCCCAAAATCCCAAACAGAAGATCATAGGAAGATCCTTCCAGATGAAGATTGAGCTTATACACTATCCTTCTATATTTCCTCTATATTCTATTTTTGTGTCTCAGATAGACCAGGAGCAATGAAAAGTGAACTGATGTACAGCTGAATACTGTTCACTGTGATGTGATTTCCTGCAGCCTGAGGAGGAGGGTACACTTTCCCTCCTCTACATGTGAGCTTGAGGCCAAGTGGATCTGCAGCAGCATGTCTCCTGTTTGCTGAAGGCCATGTTGACGCTGTTGTCCTCTGTCTGCAGGTCAATGCAGTTGTGCTGTGTCGGGTTGTCATGGTGACAGTTTCCAGTGCTCGCCGTCGTGCTAAGATGCTCAGTCCAAGCTCAGCATCAAAGATGCAGACCTTTGACCTCACTTGGTGAGATACAATGGCTTCTCTACCTCACTCTGTCGCTCTCTCTCTCTCCTCCTGCTTTTTATGCACTCTCTTTCACAAGTCTTTTTCTCGTACGCCCACGCTCTCTCACACTGTCTCTGAATCGCACAATCATTTTTGGTCGAGCAGCCATAGTCAATCGAGACAGTGTGAGAGATTGGGAGTTTAGGCTCGGGAGTCTGCTGTGGGAGTTGTAAGGGCTTATCAGCTTAACACCTGGTCCCAACACAACTGTATGCATGTGTGTGCGTGTCCGTGTGTGTGTGCTACATTTTGGGGTCTGACTTAAAACTACATTCTGTTAAATTAATTGTTATTTTATAAGTGTTTTAATGTTGCAGCTTCAATTGAGCAGTGTTTAGTTCCTCTAGACAATTCTCAACATGATCAGTGCCTAAAACATGACTTATGAAAGCAACAGTAAAGGTAGTATGGTTACTTTAAAGTTTGTGACATTCCCTGAACAATCCTAATTACCGAGGACTGTTTGAAGGCTTTTTTGTAATACATGTACATCTTCATCTTTGTTATAAGGCCTTGAAAACACAATCCTGACTGTCCAAGGAATCCATTCTTAGTTCGGTTATTTTACCACATCATACAGAAATACAGCTACTTTTATATTATTGATTATATTTTTTATATGAGTCTGGCCATATTTTTCTTATTGTCAACAAATCCCCCGCAACGACTCAAACCAACAACACATTAGTCTGACTTTGCATGTATGTACAGTGTAAGTGTATTTTTCTACCCTGTCAGTGTCATTCAGCCTCAAAGCCATTCATTCCTGCCTAAGTCATAAATCTTTGAAAATGTGTTACATACTAAAGTATCAACTTTAGAAAAGTCTCAGTAATTAAAAACCTAAAACACATTTAAGCCACCTTTTTTTTTTTTTTTTTTTTTTTTTCATCAAACATTCCTCAAAAAGGCGGAAACGTCTCGGGTTACGTATGTAACCCTTGTTCCCCGAGAAGGGGAACGAGACACTGTATCGGTGACGACACTATGGGAATGCCTCTGGGCGTGGCAGGGCTGAAATCATGAATGAAACTACTCCAATCCTATTGGCATTGCTAGAACGGTAGCATGTGACGGCGTAACTGGGGGAGTATATAAGCACGCCGGCACAACGGACACATTAGATCTTTGCTATGAAGCAAGGTACTCCAGGCGGGGCGAGGTGTGGCCGACCGACGCAGTGTCTCATCCCCCTCCTCGGGGAACAAGGGTTACATACGTAACCCGAGACGTTCCCCTTCGAGGGAACTATGGGAACGAGAATACCCACTATTCCACGCCGAAGCCTCCGCCTGCCCCCCCAGCGTGCAAAAACCTGTAGGCACGACTAGGAGGAGAGCGCACGGGTGCCGGGTGCAGAAGGAAGGTCCAGACTGTAAAATCGGATGAAAGTGTGAGGAGTGGCCCAGCCAGCTGCCTCACACAAATCCTGGAGCGAAGCCCCTACGAGGAGGGCCCTAGAGGCCGCCATGCCTCGAGTGGAGTGCGCCCTTACGGCCATACGTGAAGGTAACCCACGCACCTGATAGGCCAGGGAAATAGTCTGAACAATCCAGTTGCTGATCGTGTGTTTAGAAGCGGACCCGAAACACACCAGCAACTGGTCTGCTTTCCTCCACCGGGAGGACCTCAGAGTGTAAATACTCAGTGCCCTAATCGGCAGAGCAGATGAAGTCTCCCGTCCTCCGCCGTCACATGAGGTGGGGGATGAAACGCCTGCAGCACCGTAGACCCTGCCAACCTGGACGGAACCTTAGGGACATAGCCCGGACAGGGGTGCAGGATGGCTCTGACCCTCCCCGGGGCAAACTCCAGGCATTGAGGAGAAACCGAAAGTGCCTGGAGATCCCCCACCCTCCTCAGGGAGGTGATAGCGAGGAGAAAGGCCATCTTAAGGGTCAGGTGCTTGGCCTCAGCCGACTCCAGGGGTTCGAAGGGGGCCTCAGCCAGCGATTAGAGAACCACCGCCGGGTCCCAAGTGGGAACCCTGGAACAAGTCACGGGTCTCATCCTCCGGGCTCCACGGAGGAAGCGCACGACCAGTGGAAGCCTCCCCAGAGGCCCATCCCTCAGAGGGGTGTGGAACGCCGCCACGACAGCCAAATACACCTTGAGTGTGGATTGGGAAAGGCCAGCAGAGAAACGGTCCTGGAGGAACTCCAGCACCATAGTAACCGGGCAGGTAACTGTGTCCACCGCCCGTTCTCTACACCAGGTGGCAAACACATTCCACTTCAGGCCGTACGTCCTTCTCGTGGACGGGGCTCTGGAGCTGAGCAGCGTCTCCACTGTCTCCGCCATTAGGCCCGCCTCCAGGAACTGGGCCCCCTCAGGGGCCAGACCCACAGTCTCCACAGGGCGGGGCAAGGGTGAAAGACCTGACCCTCCACCTGAGACGAGGAGAGATATTATGTCCGAGAACCACACTCGGGCCGGCCAAAACGGGGCTACCAGCAGTAGACTGACAGCGTCCTGATGGACCCGCTCCAGAACCGGAAACAGGAAAAGCATACAGGCGCATGTCTGTACCATGGCATCCAGCCCTAGTGGGGCTGGGGGTGAGAGGGAGAACCACAGGGGACAGTGCGTAGTCTCTCGAGACGCAAACAAGTCCACGTCTATGGGGCCGAACCTTTCGCATAATGACTCCACCACCTGGGGGTGGAGTCTCCACTCCCCAGGCCTCAGCCCCTGTCTCGACAGCAGGTCTGCTCCCTGATTCTGGGTCCCAGGGACGTATGTCGCTCTGAGGGACTGCAGTCTCTGCTGGGACCACAGGAGGATCTGATGTGCCAGTTGCATAACGAGCGCGAGCGCAGACCCCCCCTGGTGATTCAAATAGGCCACCACCGCCGTGTTGTCGGTCCTGACAAGGACGTGGCGACCGCGGAGAAACTCCTCAGAGCTCTGAAACCGCCAACATTTCCAGGCAATTTATGTGCCAAGCTTTAGAAATGATGCTCCTCCCAGGAGCCTCTCGCAAAGCGGCCGTCCATGACCGCGCCCCATCCCGTGAGTGAGGCGTCTGTTGAAATAATTGTTCGGCAACAGATCGCTCCCAACACGGGACCTTGGGACAGGAACCAAGATTTCCTCCATACAGACAGGGAACGAAGGCATCTGCTCGTAACCCGTATCAGACGGAGCGGATTTTCCCCTTGGGGAGAATCCCTCGGATTTCAGCCACCACTGCAGGGCTATCATGTGCAGCAGGCCTTTTGTCATCTATCGTGACAAACCAATCCTCGGATTGGATGTGACTGATGATGGCGGGGATGGTGAGCATCCTGAACCTGAATCTCCTCAGAGATTGGTTCAGGGACCGCAGATCTAAAATCGGACGCAGTCCTCCGTCCTTCTTGGGAACTATGAAGTACCGGCTGTAGAACCCGGACTCCCTGACTGGCGGGGAAATGAGTTATATGGCCCCTTTCTCCAGCAGAGAGCGAACTTCTTGTCCCAACACCTGGCTCTGCCCCGCGTGCACCGCAGTCCAGACCACCCCGTTGAACTTCTGCGGGGGGTGGACCCGGAACTGCAGCCTGTAGCCATCCACTACGGTGCGCAGGACCCACGGGGAAATGTTTGCAAGACCACGGAGCGGGGAAATGTTTGCAAGACCTACGCATAACATGTTATGCGTAGGTCCCCGGTGGCACCCTGAAGTGGAGGACTGCCAAGGAAACTCGCCGGTGCCCCCCGGTGTGTGAGCCCGATCGTTTTCCAGCTGCAACCCCTCAAGGCGGGCAGACTGGTGAAAGCTCGCTGGCGGTTAGCGCGTCCCGAGCGCCAAGACAGCGGGAAAACAGCGCCTGTTGTCTGAGCTGCCACAAGGGAGGGACCTCGGTCAGCCTCTCGGGGGGGCCTGTGGGTGAGAGCGCCGCCTCGCGTCCCGGTTTTGTTGAGGCTTCGCTTCTGGCTCCGGCGGTAGGAGCTAGACGAGGGCTGAGCTCGTCTCTCTTCAGCCGTCGCCGTCCTGGAGCCCGGCGGGGGAGGGGCACATATTGAAAGCTGTCTGGGAATGCGGCATCCCCAGACAGTGTCCCCAGCCGTGATGTAGCGCGGGCATGGAAAGACACACTGCCTGAACTGCTCACCAGCCATCTCCTCTGCTTCTCCTTCCAGGTATTTTCGTCTTGTGGTAGCTTTCTTCTGAGTAGTCTCAAACATGCCAGAGTGCCTGCTGAATAGAAAAAAGCTAATGTGTCCGGTGTGCCGGTGTGCTTATATACTCCCCCAGTTACGCCGTCACACGCTACCGTTCTAGCAACGCCAATAGGATTGGAGTAGTTTCATTCATGATTTCAGCCCTGCCACGCCCAGAGGCGTTCCCATAGTGTCGTCACCGACGCAGTTTGAGTTCCCTCGAAGGGGAACAGTACATTTGTTGGAGACAGTGGTCAGGGCTAATCCACATTTAGCATAATTGTGATTGAGTCAAAATATAGTGTGTGTTTTCATGGTATAATGAAAAGAACAAGTCTCCCAGTGCAACAGTGTAGCTCATAGATGTGTTTTTAATTTAATTTGTCTTTGTGGACAACAATGGAGCTTTATTGCACAGTAGAATAAGATAAGAGATATCAAGGTTTGGATACACACAATACTTCATTACAGTACATTCATTGTTGGTTTGAGTCTTTTAATGGATTGTGGACAATAAGCAAAATATATAATCAATGTAGAATTTTATATATTTTATATATTCAACTTCCTTACAGCATACATGCTGTATGACTGCAAGTCAGAGGCTGAGCAGCATACACAATTTCCCTTTTCATTGTGTCAGGTCTGTTTATGTTGCTATGGTTACAGGATGATAGTACAAACAGTTCTAGTAATTCTGCTACAGCAAAGTTATGTATGCAAGCAATATTTCTAGCAGCATAACCACAGGTGCATAGTATACACATATCTTTTTTACTTTCTGCAAAATAAATAGCCCAAATGAACACTGTTGGGAGTGAGGTATGTGAGTTATTCAGGGTAATAGGAACAATTATTCAGGGAAGCTATGCTGATGTTGAACTTTTTAATGTAATTTTTCAAAACTGTACGCACCACAAATAAAACTCCATTCACCTACAGGCAGAAATCTCAAAGACCCAGATCTCAGAATGTGATGCTATACAATTAGAGGTCAGCATACTGGAGATATTACTAATTACTAATATATGTCTTACCGCTGAGGAGAGCAGCTACAGCGCCATTCCCCCTCTCAATGTATCTGTTCACTCCCTCACACATAGACTGAAAGTAGATGTCTGTGCCAGCTTTACAGTGTTACGTGAATTCAGGAGATTAGAGGGAAAATGACTTTCAAAAATAAAAGGGAAGACAGGGAAGTAGGTGCTGGCTTTGTCCTTGCAGTCTGAAAACTCAATCTCTCTACCCAGGTGCAGCAGTGTGACAACAATAGTGGTTTGAACAAAGGCAACCTTTTCCGCCTTGCCCCATGAAATGGTTATTGGCCGTATAAGCACCAGGATCATTGAAAGGATGATTGCAAAGAAACAGGAGTATGACTGTTGTAGGCGGTAAAATCTATAGCTGTGCAGAGATGTTTGTTGAAGATTCAAGGAGAAAATATTTGAGAAGAAAATGTCATCGAAATACCTTGAAAACTCCACTCTGCTGGCTCCTTCTGTCGGTCTATACTCATGTTTTATGAAATGCTTGACAAAGAGAAGGTATACAGAGTACTGAGGAACCAAATGGCACCACAACACAGTGAGAAATTTTGCTTCACTAGTCTGTTAGACCCATTCTTATTAATCTCTATTTGAGAGTATGTGTATACTTCATGCACATATTGTATGTGCATTTATGGATCATGTATGTGTGTTCTGTGTATGTCCGCAGGGCTGTGACCCGTCCAGTTCTCATCCTGCTGCCAGTGTTGGGTCTGACCTGGTTGTGCGGAGTGCTGGTCCATCTGTCTGTAGTAGTCGCCTATGTCTTCATCATTCTCAATGCCTTCCAGGTAAACAAAGACATGTGATATCCTCAAACTTTTCATATCCAAATCTAAAGCTTTTTACAATTTGGATAATGGTGTAATATAAGAAGTTATTTAAAGCTGCCCAACTGGTGTACATAAAAATTCCAACTTACACTTAATACAAATCATCAATCAAGCAATCAAATTAATACCATCCTATAATATCAAGTTGTCAACATGGTGAAATTTTCATTTTAATTATGTTCAAGATTAAGATTATGTGTACTAACTGGCAACTTTAAAAAAAAAAAAAAAAAAAAAGTAATGTGTTATCATTAAAGTGGCTATAATAAATATTTTTCATGATAATAATGTATTAAATGGCATTGTGAAAACATTAGCCATACTGTTTTGGTTGACTCTCAACGCTGTCAGGTTGTTGTTTTCAGCAGGCTGCTATTTTCAGTGAAAAAGCTCTACAAACCACTGTACAATACCTGCTCAGCAGAAATGTTATTTTCAAAACTTCTTGTAACTATTTCCCTTTGTTAGGAACTCAGTATTTAAAAACAGTTTTAACCCAAGCTCAGTTTAAGCATGTGGAACAGCTCAAGTTGAAATGTCCCATGACATTATAATGCATGTATTGTGATGTGATGTGACCGGAGAACAGTGGTAGGTTGGCTCTTTAGTTTCAATTCCTTCTGATGGTTAAAAATGGGTGGGGTCAAGTTCTAATCCACTACAGCACACCTTGTTGGACAGGGGTGGATCTAGAGGGCATAGCTTAATATCATCTATATGTAGTAGTTTAGCCAAAAAGCTCCTTGCTAGCAGGTGAAAATGCATGGCATGCACCTCCTTGTGTCAGCGGTGGTCAGCAGTGCCCAAAGTGCATGAGGAGCTGGGCTGCAGTTACCATTTCAGCATCAACTGTTTCATCTTGAGGGGAGCTTGAGTGTTCACATTTCTTTGAAACCTGCCCTGTTTGTTTGATTTATGTATTAACCTTTTAACTTTGGCAGCTTTCAGGATGTGCACACAACTGCAAAGTCGATACTCATGAGATACACCGTTGGAAGGCAAAAATTCTTGTGATTCAACCAATGCAATCTATAATAGAAGATAGAATCACAACAGCGTGTACAAACAGCGCCTCTTTCAGACCATCCACCTACAATCCAAATTGATGCAACTCATCTATGAAGCCTCATTAATCCACCGATTGATTACATTCAAACATTCAAACAGTCTTGTTACATTGTCAAAGGTCCAGATGATCCAATTAAGTAAAAATTCCAAAACACATTTTTCCATCAACAAATACCCAGGGACTGCTGCTGCATCATTTCATATTTGCCAGCAGACTGGCCAAAAATTTCATTATAAACGTAACAACTCCAGTTTGGAGGGAAAAATTGTGATATCTTGTTTTTAAAATGGCTTATGAATTCCTTGAATTCATGACCTACAATAGCCAACAAGAGCCTGTGCTGTAAGGAAATGCCAGCCCCTGTTGTTTGTGGGTTGACCAAGCCATTTGCAACCAATTGTGCTGATGACTGGCACTTCGTGTAGCCAATTAAATTCTGATATCTAGCTAGAACTAGAAAGTTCATAGTCAACCGGCAGAAAAACATCTGCGTAAAGCCTCAAATATGCTCTGGAGCAGATGGACACACAGACAGCTGTGGACACCACTGACGCGGACTACTTCTGTTCAGCTTGACGGACTTGTTCCATATGTGCAGTAGATCGGTTGGTGCCCTGGTAGTAGTCTGCCACAAGAAACGGGAGGCACCCTTGTGGCAACCTGTGTAAATATACATTTCCTGTGGTATTGCTATAAAAGTTAAACTTGGACCAGGTAAGTCCCAGCTATTGTTGTCTGCTGGCATCTGTTTGCAAACATTTTGAGGCTAAATGAAAAAACCTTCTACTTTTAGTCTGTTTAAAATAAATTTATTTTACTCAATGCCAGTAGCACTTACAGTAATTCTTCAAGAACAGCATTCAGTTTACTTTGGGTATGCCTTGGATAGGTGTTTAAGGCAAATTTTACAGGAATGGTAAGAAAATAAATGCAGGTGGGAAATTTTGGCCCTAGAGGAAATGTAAAGGGGTCACCAAAAACAAGAAATATTCCCGACGGGATGAATAACTTTTCCCAGATCAATGGCAGACAAGAGTGAATATTATGTTATTTTAAGTGTTTTTCCTGGATAGGGACAAATAGCTGGCTGTTTCAATGGCTTGGTATTGGCTGGCATGGTCTTCCATTAATGTTAGTGGAGTAAAAATCATTGTGTTTTGTCAGAGGTCTGCCTCTTACCCTTGGTGATGATGCTAGTCACCTCACACTCAGCATAGTTTTACTATAGTGTTGTATAGTTGCCATAGGGCAGTCTGTCAAAAACTCACTGTATTCCATTAAGGAGCTAGTGATATTTTAAGATGAAGCATGTCGCCTCAAAATGCCTCAAAGCGCTATTTAAGGGAGGCTGGGCAACAGGTTCAACCAAATCTGAGCCGCTATATTGTTGAATGAGAACTGGTAAGTAGCTATAAGTGCTGTACAGCACTGGTACTGGTTCAGTAATACGCACTGTAATGACAAGGATTTGTTACTTCTGCAATCAAATGTTTGAGTAGTAATATCTGCTGGAACAGGTGGACAGTGCACCCCAGAGGAGGACACCCACATTGTAAATATGGTCATTGCAAATTACTGCATCAAATTCTGAGAACAACAGGACCACAAACTGGCAGATAACACCAAAACATCAACAGAGTCTCCCTGCATTGGATGAACCAGCTGCATAGAGTCCCTTTTCCTAGAACCTCAGATTGTGTAAAACAAGTGAGGAACACACATCCATACTTTACACATTTGGACACCTGTGTGTATCTGAGTTTTACTATCCTACATACAGAAAAGTGTTTCATTTATACTATCAGTGCGTCGTTGCTCCTTCGTGTGAATATTCAAAGACGTTTGTGTGTGCTGTATTGATGCAAAAACTCAAGTCTTCACAAGAGTTTGAGATTATTTCTAAAAAGCAACAAAACATCATTCACTATAGCTTTAAAATGATGTCTTTCTCATGTTCATTCATGAGCATAGTTCCATGACCTCTGCAGCTACTGATGCGTATGTGTGTGTCATAGCTTTGTACTGTATTGTGTGGCACATGTAATGTCTGTACCTGCTCATTTGCAGTTGTAACATTATAACTGTGACTGTGTATTCATGCACGTGTGTGGGGGGGAGTCAGGCCTTTGAACGAAAGGTCATCCCACATCTACCTCCAGCTCTCCTCCCCTGATAACATAACATTTACTTCCTTTCTCAGACACTCTTCTCTCACCCTTTTCCATACACTGTACTTGTTTTTCTGATATGGTCCATTCTTTACATCCCTCTCTCCTTGTCTTTTCTCACTCCACCCACAACCCTGTGCTCTTTCCCGCTCTTTAATTAATCAAAATGAGCTAGCCCCTGGGTGACCCCCGGAGAGCTGCTAGTTAATTTAGATTTACTGCTGGTGTCCAGTTGAGGGCAGATAACACTAGAGAAGGAGTTCTTCCTCATGTAGGTAGGAGGATAATGCGGGGCCAGCCCTTTTTCTTTTTCTTACCAAAAATCCTTTTTTTTTTTTTTTACTGAGCTACTTCAAAAGTTTATAAAATCAAAGTATGACGGACAGTCTTAGGTCTATGAACCAGGAAAGCAGATGAGAGCTGGTAGAGCAAAATAGGGCTCACTAATAACATCCAGCAGAGTATTCAATTCACTAAAACTTCTGGTCCCGGTATCTGATATTATTTGTCACTAAGTCTTCCACTTCTGATTCCTTCCACTAAATTTCTGCATCAACACTGAATTATTGTCTGACTCAGTATACTTATTTTTAGATTTATTAGACATACTGTTGGTAATGGTGTGATGCAGCGTAAACACAAGTTTACACACTACAGTATGGCAATTTTATTTCTGTCGCTGACTGTTTACTGTCATAATTATGAAATTAGACCCTATAATCAAAGTTTAAAAAATTTTATCTTTTCATTTGTCATAGTTCTGTTGTGATCCTAAGGAGCAGAGTCTACTTGGGCTCCACCTCTAAGACATCATTGCTTTAATCACTTTATGCATTTGAATTATGAATTTTTAGAGCAGTTAGATATAATGACCTATGTTTGTGTTTTTCTGACAAAACCCGTTCATGTGAATAATGACTGACTTTCTCAGAGGCAAAGCCTCTTAGGGATGAGGCGTGAATGGATGGTTTGGTTTGTGTCTGGCTTTGACACAGAAGATTGCAGTTTGCATCCTGTGTCTTATACCAACAGCCAACATTGTTTTCTGACTACAATGATCACAATCTTTCTCTGCACTTAACAATGTAGTTTTAGTTGCCTAAACTGAACCAAGCCTTAACCATAGAGGTGGCACTTAATTAATAATTTTTCTAATGGAAATGTGTTTTCTGGAAGGCACAGTCAAACGATGTAATCCTAAAGATAGGGACGCCAAAATCATTAAAATGCCCAGATGGGTTTTTATTAAGTTTGAAAGAATTTTAGTGTTCCTATTAGTAACAGATATTCTGATTGAGACCACATGATGCATCCAAATCTACCAGTATACTCCAACAGAAGTGCCTGAAACCCCCTAACCCCAAACTATTCCAATGTTGGAATGTCCAGCCATGTCTGTAACTTTCTAACAGAGCCAAGCTGACATATATGCCCACTGAGAAAGTAAACAGGGTTTGAACTTCTCTCTTTCATTTCATGTATTTCCATCACTTTTCATGTGGCACAAACGCCTTCCAGGAGAGACTGTATGAAAAAGTATTTTCACATATTTTCACTATTACAGTTTTTCACAATTGCTAACACACTGAATCAAACACTCAGTCGCCTAAATCCATTTGTCAAATCAGTCACTCATTTGGCAAAACCTTACAGTTTTTTCCAACTGCTTACACACATTTTCAAAACTGTCTCCTTTTTCCAAAACTCTACACACAATTCTCCCAACTGCTCGGAAAAAATGCAAAATGCCTCATATGTCCTTCAAAATGAAACACTGCATTCAAAATGCCATAAACACACCAAAATCCTTCCTCCCACCATCCAAAGACATGCGGATTAGGTTGATTGGTGACCCTAAATTGTCCTTAGGTGTGAGTGTGAGTGATTGATCGTCTATGTGTGGCCCTGCGATGGACTGGCGACCTGTCCAGGGTGTACCCTGCCTTTCGCCCGATGCCAGCTGTGATTGGCTCCAGCCCCCCGCGACCCTGTACGCAGGATAAGCGGTTGACGATGGATGGATGTAAATTATTGGATATACCATGCACACATTGTTGTTCTAAATCTAAAACTCATTTGTCTTTCACAGGTGTATTTGTACACTCCCATACAATGTTGTAGAGTAAAACTAATCTGCTAAGATGTGTTGAAAAATGAACTGTAAACACCAAATGCAATGTTGAAACAGCAAATACTTATTTGGAAAAACAGTTATTTTTACAGTTGTAACAGTAGTACAGTGTTGTATACAGTAACATTCAAGAAATTAAACCATAAACATATGTAAACCAAAACTATAATTTTTTCTTTTATTTCCAAAAATTAATACTTATTTAACAATACTATACTGCTGAAATAACCAATATAATGTTGCAAACGGTTCAAATTATGGACGCCGCTGTAAAGCGACTCAACTTGGGCTGGACTCTCAGTCTAGCTTCGCTCATGGTCAACCTGTGGTCACATGATCAATAAGTGTGGCCCTGATCTCATCCGTGATGGCTCTCCTTCCTTCTCTTCTTTGCCCTCGTCCTCTTCCTCCTCGTAATCGTCGTCCTCAGTCTCCTCTTCCTCTTCCTCCTCCTCTTCTACCAACTCTTCCTCCTTGAACTTTTCCTCTCTGTCCATTGTTGGCATCCATTGTTCAAAACAGGTAATTTGACCTTTAACCTATGTATAGGTCTACTGTATACTAAAGCAGTGATTGGTTAGTGATCAGTTAAGCAGTTAGTGTTTGCACATGTGAGGAGTGGCTGTGTGACCTGGAGAAGAAGTGTAGCATTTTGATTGGTTGTGTTTGGAAAAGGAAAGCAGGTCACTTCCTGTTAGATTTTTGTGTCTTAGGTAGAGAATTGTTTGTAGTGTTTTGAAAAAAGTGTTTTATGCAATTGAAAACTGACTGAAAGGCTGAGAAATAGCTAATCGTTTTGGTGGTTTGAGATGAGGTTTTGCTCTTTGAGTGAGAGGTTTCAAAAATTGTGTGACATGTAAAGATTTTGTGTGTAAGCAGTTGGAAAAAACTGTAAACAAGTTCAGGTAGTTAAGATACTTTTTGCAAAAATTTGCACTGTGATGCACTTGTGTTGCAAAATGATAAATACACGTAGCAAAAGTTAAAATGATTATAGAAATGTGTCTTAGCAATTGTTAAAAACTGTAACCACAAAACCTTACAACAAAAAGCAAAACATTATACATCTTATAATGGATGTATAATGACTTTGACTTTTCAGAGATACAGTATTGGATATATTGACCAAACACAGCACACACAGTACAATTCTGATATATATTTATTTTCAGCAAAACCAATTGTGGAAAGTATGAAGTACAGAACTGTACAGTACAAAAAACAAAAAAACCTAATTATTTCTTCTTGCCTGGCTGTATCTGGCCATAGCACTTTGTCCACATCACAGTCTATGTCCTCTGTTGCAAGACAGTGAGGGAAGTATCGTCTTGATTGGCAAATCCACCCTTGCACAGATGCTGCATCCACTTGATCGCTCACATCCTCCATAGCTTGAAAGAGGGGCATCAAGATATAGGGCTGGAGGTCATAAACCTTCCACCACCATGCCAAAAAAAACTCCTCAATAGGGTTAAGGAAGGGAGAGTATGGTGGGAGGTATTGGAGTATATATAGTTGATGCTGATGAAACCAGTTTTGGACCAGAGCAGATCGGTGGAAAGATACATTGTCCCAGATAATAATGTATCTCATCTGCTCTGCATCCATTTGGTTTTCAACTGTGATGATGTAGTGTAGTCTGTCTGAAAATGTGAGTATGCGGGCCATGTTGTAAGGACCAAATGTGGCATGGCGGTGGAGGACCCCATTCTGGGAGATGGCAGCACACATGGTGATGTTACCACCACGCTGGCCTGGCACATTGAGAATAGCTCTATGCCCAATGATGTTTCTCCCCCTTCTTCTAACTTTAGTCAGGTTAAATCCAGCTTCATGAAGATAAATTCATGCTGGATTACAGCAGCTTCCATTTGTAAAACTCTCTGAAAGATAGACAACATTGTGTTGTTCATTGTCAGCCTACTATACATTTACGTGAAAAAGGGTTATTTGTGCAGTGTGCATTACAGTACATACCTCCACATATTCATGCCGCAGGTCTTTTACTCTCTCCAAATTTTGTTCAAATGGGACTATGTTGAGTTGTTTCATCTGTTTTTTAAGGATTCGCCCCCCACCTGATGAACATTATTGTAACACTGTGTTGTCATTGAGGATGTTTGGTTGAATTTCTGTGGGGCGTGTTGCATTATTGGCCAAAACCATGTTAATGATAGCTCTCTCTTGTTCTTCAGAGAATATTCGGCCCCTTCCACTTTGATGTGGTCGACCCTCAATCCTGTAGACCAAGAAATATACAAATAAATACAGAGTACTGATGTACTGGATATTGTAAGCTATATACTGTATTTACTGATTATACTGTAATGTACTGTAGACACTAATGTACTTCACCTGTTCTCTTGTCAAAATGTCCGAATTACTGTTGCAACAGTATATATATATATATGTTGCTCTATTATCATTTGATAAATTTGGTCTTCGTCTTCTTTGTCCATGTCCTCTTGGTCTCCCTCTCTGTACCCCTTTTCCTCCACGTGCACCCCCTCTCATCCTCTCTCTTACTGGAACATTACCTTCCATTTTTGTTGATAACAGGTAAACTCACCTGCTGCCTTTTTATAGTGCTTGCACATGATTGGTGAGTTTAGAGTTGTGCACCTGATGGCAACGTTTGATCAATTGGTTCACAGGTGTGGCATTTTAGACGAGACATTGTGTGAGATTTTTGTGTCTAATGTAGCCTGTGTGTGTTTTGCAATCACTGTGTCTAGTGTTTTGCAAAAGGTGTGAGGCTGAGAACGTGCTTATAGTTGTACAGATCTGGGCTTTAGTTTTGAGTGTAAGGTTTCACTGACCATGTGTTATATAACATTTTAGTGTGTAAGCAATTGTAATTGTAACTGTAATTTACATGAATTGAGTTTATTTTGAAAGGGACTCTGTACAGCTGCTTCATTCAATGCAGAGAGACTCTGATGTTTTGGAACATTGTGGCCCCTATGTGGTCCTATAGTTCTGAGTGCGATGCCGTTATTTGCAATGCCCATATTTAGAATGTGGGTCAACAGTCGACCTGTTCCACCAGATACTGGTTTTCTTACAATTCTGTAAAAGCATTTGATTGATAAAGTAGTAAAAGATCCTTGTCTTTACAGTGCATATTACTGAACCAGTAGTTACTTACCGCTTCTAATTTCAAAAATAACCAGATGATACCTGCAACAGTATAGCGACTCAGATTTGGTGGAATCCACTGCCCAGCCTCTCTCATGCTCCTCCCATGGTTGACAACATGGTCAATCACAGTGGCTCTGATTTCATTAGTTATGTTCCTGACTCCCCTCCCTCTTCCTCTTCCTGGTCCTCTCCTTCTCCCCCATCCTACTTGATCTTGCCCTCTCCTCCTCTTACTTCTTCACCTCCTTGTTCTCTTCCTCATCCTCCTCTTCTTTCTTCCCTTTCTCGTCCATGCCCTCATTTTCCTCCTTTAATTCTTACCCCTCTAATGCATCCATTGTTAGCCAAACCAAATGTTTACCTATGGCCCATTTATGCATAGTGCTCATGCTCTGATAGAAAAGTGAACTAATAATCTAAATGTGAAATGCCAATTGGCAAAACACTGTAGCAAAACAGAGGAATGTTTACAGTTTTTATAGAATTGGGTTATTGAATTGCAAACTGAGTGTAAAGCAGCAAGTTGTGTCTACAGTTTTGAAAAAAGTGTGTTATAAAATTGCACACCGAGTTTAAAGCAGAGAACGTGCATTCAGTTGTCAAGTGTTAATGGTTCAAGAAATAGCGCTTCAAGACTGACTGTTAGTGTTTAAGCATCCAGAAAAAACTGTGAGGTGTTTGGGCTACTACTGCTGCAGTGGACTGTTTATGGTTGGCGAAGGGAACACACTTTTATAGTATTTTTCTTTAAAAATAAGATAAATACTGTACATCACAGCACATACATGAGGTCAGCAAACTGCAATATTAGAGAAAAGACTCACAAAATTGCAATTCTGGTGAATATTTTCACTGTAATAGTAAACCAAGTGACATGGAGACATTGATTTGGATTCACTTGAGCTAAGAGTTGAGTATCAGAATCCAACTGAAACCTGTGCTAAAAGGGAGTAGAAAACCACACATATCGAGAGAAATGAGGTATTTAGCAATACATGGTTCTCTCTTTATTGGTAAAGGGAAAAGCAGAGTTTGACTAAGATGGAAAAGTGGAGTACTAAACGTACTTGTTGAAGATTGTCTACAAAAGCTGTATGAATGCAGTTAATTCTTCTCCACTTTCCACCTTTCACATGTGCTTTGTAATGTGTCTCTTATCTTCCATAGGGCTTGTATATCTTCTTAGTGTATGCTGTGTACAACAGTGAGGTAAGAAGGCATGCAGTCCATTGTCAGTGTTGCTGTCTGTCACCACTGCGGCAGAATATCAGAATGTATCTTTGTATGGTATGCGGGGCTGCCAGCCTTTTGGACAAACCAGTGGGTGTAAACGCTGCTTCTCATTTAGGTGAGGAATGCCATAAAGAGGATCAAAGAAAAGAGGAAGGCCTTATCTTTCACGGTGAGTGCGTAACAAGCACACAACAGTGATCCATCAGTAAAGGCTGGAAAATAAATTCCCTCTATACCAATGTTTGTTTTACTGCAACTCTGACTTTGCTTTTATGTGGGCATTTTTGGTATAGCTGTAATGTCCACATATTGTACTTTAGGATAAAATCATCACTTTGCTGCACTTCTGATTGAGTTGAGATGTATTTCAGAACTGTTCCCAGCCAACCAGCTTCCTACCTTCCCAGAGGGCCCCAATTACCTCCTGGGGGCGTAGTCCACCTACTGCCTCCAGCCCTGAGACCAGTGAGACCTCTGGACCCCCCAGCTCCACTTCAACATCATTGGTCATCAAGAACGGTAGGCTGCATAACCTGAGGCTGTGTGTGTACTCTGTGTGACATGGTCTTAACTAAAGTATTACTTATAAGGCTAGGGGAGATATTTTGTAAGGTAATGTATGATAAATAATTCCTGTTTAGATGTGCAAAATCTGTAGGTGGAAATGGAAATGTATATAAATACTGATTTATTACCAAACTGTCAGGAAACTGCCTAAAATATAAAGTCTGAGAAAAGCAGGTGTAAAATCTCAGGCTGTTATATCACACACACACAGAGGGAGAGTCAAAGTCAAGTTAGTTGTATTCAGTTCGGGCAGAGCCAGCTGATAACAACAGGTACAGTTAGCAACACCTAGCGGTTACCGTAGTGCTAGCAACAAGTAAAGCTATCTGTCCATCAGTAAATCACAGAGAGCTGAGGCAGAGCAGTGAGAGGACATCAGAGGGAAAACCAGAAAATGTTTAACTTTCCATAACCGTAAAAGCACTTTCTGAAAGACATACTGAACAACCTCCAGCTCTAGCTCAGCTGGTGTTGTGTTGGACAGTGGGTCCGAGAGCGGTATTTTCAGTGTGCGGGGCCATCTACTGCACTGAAGGGCTGGAGGAGGTCCTATGCTACACACATCTCTCCATTACGTCAAGAAGGGAGCCAAATTCAAACTACGTGTTTGCACACGTTTACTGCAAGACTGAGAAGGAGAAAAGAGAGAGGATGGGTTTTTTTTCCATAATATGGGAGTCACCGGGGACACATATTTATGATAAAAAGACATGAAAAAGTGGATTTTTCCTAATATGGAACATTTAATGCTAATCAGGAGAACTACAGCTGGCCTCATTTACAATATGTAGTCTCAGTAAATACCTCGCTACATTTGTTGAATCCGTTTATTTCATCTTTATGTCAATGCAATGGTCAGTGACATGTCCACCACTGCTGTGAATGACACTCTCTCCTGCACCTTCACAGCACTTTGTGACTGAAATAAGTAAATGATGAGTGGTGAGAATAGACATCAGATGCCATTTCACTTCATTTCATATTTTGGTTTATCTCATCAGCAGAAATCTGTTCTGCAGAGACAAAGCTACAAATAAATGACATTCATTGTTTAGATAGAAGGGCAAATAAAGGAGATCTGCATACAGAAAGAACCAAAAGATTTTATATTGAGAATTCTCACAATGTTCTTTTGTTGTTCATATTGTTTGCATTTTTGCTCCCCTGTGTGTATTTTATGAAGCTTTCTTTCTGTTGTATTTTGTCTTGCTTTTATAATCTTTGTCTTACATGTTTTGGCCTCGTGCTTGCTCGTGTTTGGAATTGTTGGGTCTGTGTAAATAATATTTTAAAGAGTACGGTCTAGGCCTGCTCTATATAAAAAGTGCCCAGTTATCTGTTATGATTTGGCGCTACATTAATAAAACTGAATTGAAGTGAATAAACAAATGTGTTTGTCCTGAAAGTGAAAATGCTAACTTGAAATACAAATAGGTGTTTTTGTCTTACAGAGAGCTTCAGAAAGGAGAGCTTTGTGAGTTTCTCTATAAAACCAGCATCAGGAAATCAAGTAAGTAACATTCATGCATTCATGAATACACTGTTACATACATACATCATACTGTTGGCATTTAAATATGACTTGGTATTGTTTATGTCTCTTTAATTAAAACAGGTGGTGCAGCTGATTGGGTTCAAGCCATCAGGTACAACTCTAACTCTTGATCCGGTTTGTTTATAATTTGAGGGTTGGTCTCATTTGAAATTAAGAGATGGTTAACATTATTGATCCCACACAAAGAAACTAGACCAAAATATAGACACTTTTGTAGTAAACAAGAAAGGACTAGTGTCACCATTGCTGGGGGTACCTGACAACGGCCATATACATGTAAATTAAAACAAATGTGGAATTTAAATCCTTTTAACTTGAAATGGAAAGTAGTTTAAATGTAGTTAAGTTGTTTTAACTTGAAACTGTAAACTAGATTAATGCAGAAATATATGCCTGTTAAAGACTAGTTAAAGGAAGTTTTTGGCATTGATTAAGTACAATAATTATTTGTTTTAACTCAAAGTATGAAGTTGAAAGAAGTTATAAAAAAACATTGTTATGCATTTTCAAGGCAGCAGGTGAACTTGCATTTCCCTGTTAACTACTTGCGAGGACTATAATAAAACACACAGGACTACGATAACTAGTATGACTTGGAGTTAGAGAGAAACAAATCATCTGTCCAAAATGGCTCAACAAGCCAAATGCTTTGAGTACTTTAAGGATTTTACTGTAAGTATTGATTTTCAAGTGTGAATACTAAAGTGTGGGCCTGGTCGTCTGGTCAGTGTTCCATACAGTATTAGTTATTTGACTCTTGCTGCACTGATCTCTCACTGCTGATGAGTAATAGAACATTGATTGTAAATAAATCTATCATTACATTTATTCACACTTTTCTGAAAATAAGTTAAGTTAATTAAGTTTAAAATCTCAGCATCCACCTTTGACCTGTGCTCCTTCCTTGTTTTCTCATGGATGCACCGAGCTCTCTCTTCGTCTGGTTTTAAATTACACTGCACATTGAGTACGTTTAAGCAGCCTTGAGAAAAGAAAAAGAATGATGTATTTGCATTTATTCTCAATGAAAGTCCTCATTTGAGTTGAGTGAGTTGAGTCGTCAGTGTATGTTATTATTGTTTCTATTAGCAGAAGTGTTCTATAATGGTGGTTTAATGTGGATTACGGTCTGAATGCAAAGTATTTTGTTCTTAATTGTCACTTATACATAAAACAGGAGAAAACACAGGATAGTTGTAATTTTTCTGTAATGAAAATCATTTTAAAGGAGTATCATCTATTGATGATTGCAGTCTAAACAAGCTTCCTAAAACCCTTGTGGATACATGTGTAGAGTGTTTGGGTCAGAGCCCAGCCAATGGTCACACACTAGATGTAAGGAACATTCTCATTATGATATAAAGACCTGACTGGAGTAGAAAGAGGTGCGGGTTTAATTTTTCCCAGACTGTCTCCATTTACCTGTGCAGTGTACAACATGTGTGAAAACTTCCCTAGTGTTTTTTTGTTGATTTCAATGTGCAGGCCATACACAACAGATGGTCCCCATATTTCCAAAGGGTTAAGTCACTGTCAGTGGCTCTAAATTGCCTGGCAGTAGGGAGAAGGAAGTTTGTAATGAATTCATTAAATGTTTAGCTGTCTGTGAAGAACGCCTGATGGATCGTGTTTGAGTGCTGCTCGGTGTTCATTGTTGACTGGCGAGACAAAGCAGAGGTTCATTCCTAACGGACAGGGCTGGCTATTCACGCCATCAGCCATTAACCACTCCAACACCTGCTCTCTCTCACTCGGCCTTTCATTCCCCTCCTTTCTTGTTTTCTCTTTTGTACACAAACACACTAGCACTCCTGTAATGCAAAAACATTAAACATCAGATCGAGCTGGGAGTCGTAGCTAATGCCTTTCACTGTATTTCACTACAGGTTGTTGAACTGCAAATGGAGTGGATCCTGATACTCATTTACAATAAATGTGCACCACACTGAAAGAAGAGAGAACTGGACACACACACACACAGATCCCACCTGAAGAAGAGCACGGCCACCACACACCACACATATACACACACACGCAGGAAAATTAAAATGAAGGAAGGACCCTCTCTCACTGTTCCGTTCTCAGATCAGATCAATGATCCCTCAACTACTCACTTTTTTAACACATCTGTTTCTTTATCGCCAACAAAATGACAAAGGAAAAAACTTCTGTTATCTGTATGGCTAATTTAATGTGGTTTTTGCAATGTGGGTGTAATAACCCTTTAATTTAAACACAAGGAATATTATCTTTTATTTACATTTTACTACTTTACTTAAAATATTACCAACACCCACACAACTATCAGCAACATTGTCTAATTGTCTTTACCAAAGACAATTAGGTCATTTCTGACTACAAACACAGTTCTTTACTGGACCTCCATGATGGTGTGTCTGCTATGAAATATGGGATGCAACTCTTGCCATCTCTTTAGCATAATTTCCATAAAATGACATGCATTAATGATCTCTTCAGCCTATATGTCTGGCTAATATTAATGCTGGGCTTCATTCTCACTCTCTCTCATGTTGTTTAAATAGCTCTGCAATAGAAATTCAAGTTTACCAGGAAGAACAAGGCTCCAACATGGCAATATGGTGTGTTATATAGTTAGCAAACATTTTCAGCATGGACCACTGTGTTTGATAATGGCTTGCTAGAAAGTGTGTTACTGTTGTAAATAGATGATTACAATAAAGAATGAAAAGACTGTACCATTGCAGCTTACTATGGAGCTGTAAAGCACCACCAGATAGATGCTGTGAGTTTAAAACCGATATTCTTAACGCTTTAGAAACAGGAGGTGCATGTTCTGTTCAGTACCTAATGACTCTAATCGCTCTTAAACCTATCTACAGTATTTACTCTCAAACTACTGTTGGCTTTAGACACTGCACGTTGTCTTTTTTCTCGTTGTTCTGTAGCAGCAGCCATTTTAACTCCTATCCTACCAGCTTAAACTGTTCCAATCTGTTTGTGGAGAGCAGACCTGGAATCATGTTTTGACTGATATTATATTTTTAAATAAGAATCACAATTCTTGATGTTAGCTGCTACGGTCTAAAATGTGTTCTCTCTGTTGTGTTGTTAGACATCATGGTGTATTGTTCAACACGATCTGCCTGTTCTACATTTCCACATTTTTGTAGATGGACATTTGAGGAACAAATCAATTTTCCTCTGAAGATACTTTAATGGCAAAATTACAAGTGTCACAGTAAGATTGATGTCTATTTTAGAGATATTGAATGACGACTTTCCAGGAATGATTTGTTTCTAAAACTGATGTTTAATGTTTTAGACTATTGCTGAATGTTTGCTGTGTGTTTCTAGACAGAAGTGTTAAGTCAGACACTGCTGTGACTGCTGTGTTAAATCTATATATGAGCTCTGTATCATTTGTGCAAAACTGATGAATCTTATGCAATAATAGCCGACAAACAAGTGGAGCTTTACTTCACTGAATTTTATTGGTTTGATGCTATTACAATAAAATATATTTCAAGAAAACAAAAATGTTTTGGTCACTTTCTCTTTTGGGAGAAAAACACTACAGTTTAAGACGGGACAACTGTCAACTCACAGGAAAATAAAAAGTGAACTAAGAGCAAAAACAAAGGCTATATCAAGAGAATCAGTTCCACAACAGTAGCGATTTGACCTCAACATAAAGCAGAGAACTTTTTTGGTTGAAATGTATCTTCGTCTTGCAGTAGATATTCACTTCACAACATAAATATACTGTACAGATTGATAACACACAGCTGTCTCAACTGGAAAAACAGAGGTTGGTGTGTGTGTGTGTGTGTGTGTGTGTGTGTGCTTTCAGGCAGACGTTAAGGCAGGCGGAGTGATTGTCTACGATACCTTGAAATGCCACATCAATGGACGAACAAGGAATGATTTTGAATGTCCACTGTGAGAAAGTTGAGCTACACAATATTACAAACACTGCTTTGACTGTGTCTTTGTTTTTCAGTTGGTCCAGTTGACAGTCATCGTGAATTTCAGTTACATTGTCGTCATTGATGAGAGTCACATGCTTTTAAAAAAGGTGTGTCACTTCTAATGAATGTGGGAGCACAGACTGGGACAAATACAAATACATTAGTGTTACTTTTCAACACGGAGTGCCGGAGCTAAAACACTGACTGCTACAAATACACTGTATAGTGTTCTCGACCCGTAGACCCAGGTTTCTGATACTGTGTTCTGTTGTCCACTGGTTGATAAAATATTTAGTTTTAATTGCATACCATATGCAGGACTGACAAGAACAAAATTCTGGATAAAATACTACTTATTTAATTATTTATAGGGGACATTAATTGGTCAAATTAGTAAATTCATCATTATGTGTATTAAGGTGGAATATGTGACTCTGTAGAAATCCAATACCATGACACATACCATGATACAGAACAACGACACAGCAAGTAATGTAACTAACGTTAGCTTAGTTGTGGGTTAGCTAAAGCTGCTGCTGTGAAGCTAACATGCAGAGAGGTCGGGACGGTCCCAGAGCAGCACAGCAGCTCTAGACAGTGATACTCCCCTGCTACTAAAGCTAACATCACAACAACAGCATGTCTTTTTGAACTAGAAAATAAGCAGAATGTCCGTGGGCAAGTCATTTAATGTTGCTGACACACAAATCATTGCTGGCACGGCTGGAATAGTGTTGTGTGACCACTTTGTTTGTTTACCATTTACAGAACCAGGGCTGTGTACAACACCAGCTAAAGGACTGTGAGGAGATCTATGCTGAATTTGACAAAAAGGCGTGTGTTGGATTAGAATCACATAGCCCACCTATAAAAATACTCATCTTCCTACATGGTAGGACTAGCAGTGTGAGGTGTGGATGAGACTGAGGCAACTGTACAGGTGGTTGTTCTAAGTCAACTTGCAGAAACATAAATCGACACATTTCTTTTGCACTGACTAAAAATGATGTCTACAGGACAGATAAGTCATTCACTACTGATTGGTTAGGGCAAAACAAAATAACTCCCTCTTTCAAACAAACTTTCTGACATTAAGAAGCTTTCAGACATTTTAGTTTGTCTCATAAAAATGATGCTTATACACTACTAATTTGCAACAGCCAATGTAAGGCATGTAAAGCTCCCTTAATTGTGTCACCATATTTTTATTTAAACCATTTAAATTAATGTATTTGCAAAGTTGCAAAATGTCTGTACTATTGTCAAAACAATTAAAGAGAAATTAGCTTAGGTTTTGGAGGCATTTGATGAGTGGTCATACTGCTGACCTAAATACTCACTAGAGCACCAAACATGTAAAAATCAACAATAATGCGCTATTTCTTACTAAGCTACAGTGACCAGCTGTTTTAGGAACTTACAGTCTTTTTAAAAATCCAGCTATATATTTGTGAAGTTATTTTAAAAGTCTTCAGTAGGAACCAGTGGGCTTGAGGCTGAGTGCTACACAAAGTGTAGGGAGGTCAGAAAGTACTGCAAATGGTCAAACACATTGTTGATGTTGGTCTTTTCATAAGATTTGTTAACAATAAGAAAAATCATTCAAAAGCATTAATATTATTTACAGAAAGTATACATTTAGAAAATGTCATCATGTTCAATATGTGTAAAATCCATCTCTACAGCAGCTTCAGTACAAAACACGTTAGTATCAGCCTTCTCACACTGAGATCAGTCGAGCTCTAGTCCACACTGTACAGCGTATTGAAAAGTCACACCAACGTGACTGTGAACATGACAACTTCATGTTTTGAGTGCCCAATGTTTTTTAAGGCATTGGCCAATATCTAAATCAAAAGTTTCAAAGAAACTAGAAACCAAATCTGGCCAGATAATTTTTTCCCTCCCTGCGTTGTCTCTGTATGCCTCCTCTGTAAAACTGAAAGACAGACACTTGTAGATACTTCCTTTTTGCTTTTTACATATTAAAGAATTCATCTCTCCCTTATAATTTGCACATTGATGTGTCTTTTTTCACTCACCTCTCCGCTCTGGCTTCCCTTTATTATTTATCCACAAAGCATCACTGTAGTTTCTCTCTTTCTCATTGGCTTTTTCATTCCCTCCTTCCTTCTCTGTCCCTCTTCCTTTCCCTTTCATTTTCATTTTTCTGGGCAAAGGTTTGATGAATAACTGAATTAAAAAGTGTTTTTCTTAGCATGTCTGGCTTTGATATATCAATATATTAACATATAAATAGATTAAAACAAAACTATATTGAATCCCATAAAGCTTTCATGTTTTTTTGTAAGGTTGGTGGCAAAAAGAACAAGTGCAGAGATAAGAGCAGTGCTAGTCTAGTCTGAGACTACAGTGTGTGTTATCCTAAAGTCTGTCTTCATAAAAAAAAAAAAAAAACCTAGGAACAGTGTTGATGACCTTGGAATTATAAAGTTGCATCTGACATTTGGATCAAAAAAGACAATTTTTGACACTAAAATATGATTTTTGAAAAGACAAAATCTGCTCACCAAGCAAGCATTCAACAGATGTTTCCATGCAAACAATCCCATCCTGTGAGATTCAATATCAGCCCACTCCACACCAGATATTATAATAAAATTCCTATCAAAGTGGATTTAGAAACTGTTTGGATGTTTCGTAATAATGCTATCAGCTACGGACAGACATCTTGACACCACGTCTTCATGACTTTTCAGCACTGGTGCAGGCTGGAGCCTCTTCCTTTGAGTCTAAATGTTTGCTGGGCAGCTGTGTGAGACGTAGGAAATCTTGTTGGCAATTTTGTATTCAGGTGACATTATGTAACTCTATGGGCAGATCAAATTTTAGATTTTTGAAAACAGGGTAAAAAATCCAGTTTATAAAGGTTTATTAATGTAAATGTAAATTAACATTAATGTACCTCTGCAGAATGTAAAAAACATTAACATTCATAATCTTCAAACTACACAGATGGAGCTTTATAATTCCAAACTCTAAAGAACATGTACTCCTCTTTGACGCAAACAAAACCCCTTCCAAAGAAGACCCTATATGAACATGTCTATCTTTATTTGATTCTTTCATCCCACTCACACTTTCCCTCCCACACACACACACAGTCTCACCTAGAGAAATAACTCATGATGGTGGAGCATCCTGCATGCCTCACACACACGCTCGCTTGGCATGCAGCATCTCAATGAGCAGGTTGTTGCAGGGCACCTCTCCGCTCAGATGCATGTAGCACAGGTAGTCCTCGGACTGCGTGCTGAGAGAGCGCAGCTCTGGCAACCGTACCACCAGCTGGCTGAACTTTTCCTGGAACTGAGGGTACGTGGACAGCGTGTACTCCAGCAGAGCCCCATTCACCTGCTCCTGGACACCCTCCACAAACGCCTGGTCCTCCAGCAGCTTCACATCTGCACACATGCAGAGGACAAACATGGATCATGACTCAGTGAGGGGAAACATGAATCTGCTGACATGTGGCAGAGGATCAGGCTGTGGATATAGTAGTATATAAACCCTTTGAATGTCACCATCCTGCCAGTAGGCCAGTCATTACAACTCAATCTGTGCATTCAAATATTGTTCAAACCCACAGAAATTATTTTTAAATTCTAGTGGTGATGCTAGAATTTTGAACAACTTGAATATTTCAATACTGGCGACCTGTCCAGGGTGTACCCCGCCTTTCGCCCAATGTCAGCTGGGATTGGCTCCAGCTCCCCGCGACCCTGTATGCAGGATAAGCGGTTAGATGGATGGAATATTTCCATTTTATGTATAACATCCTGGAGTGAACATCATCTACCTACAATGAGCTGGAACAAGATGATATGATACAGCCAGAAAGATGTTGTATAAGATGATTTTTCCAAACTTAAATGTCATTTTAAGGAGACAAAAAAGTAAGTGTGGATTTTAAGAGGTAAAAAAGACAACAGAACAGGACGAGATATGTCTTGTACTTTCCATCAACATTCCTTAAATGCATATTTTTACACAAAAAATGAATGGAGTTTGTTATATTGGAAAATATGCCTCAATATCATGAAAAAGTATACTGTAGGTGCAGCTGTAATTTACATGACAACCCCACAAGATTAACAATAAATTGGGAGCGTTAATAAAATGATGGGACTTACCAACAAACTTAGAAAAGCTAATCCTTTCAATAATGTAATACTTGCATTGCAGGGCAAGTTGATTCTACACTTATGTTAAATACTGTAGTAGTTTGAAAAAACAATCTTATCTCGAGGTTACTGTACTTACTGTACTAGGTTTTGTTCTGGAGCTTTCAACTCACAGTCTTCATCACGGAATGGGTTTTATACTTATGTCATGTTTTAACAATTGAGCCATCTCCATGACAACTGAGAAAACTCCATGCGGTGGTGAGGGCTATGAGATGCTGATGAAAGGAAAAGGACTGGTAAGTGGACCTTGAGTTAGGATCAGTTTGTAGAAGCCTCCTGTTTTGTTTTGCAGATTCTTTTAACAATTTGCTTTAAATGCACATTTGGATAGAAACTAGTTAGCTTTTG